GTGTTAAATTTCACGTAAAAATTGCACTAAAAATTAAATATAAATATTTGCTTAGGGCCATTAAAATACTCTGAAACCAAGTTGTATAAGTTTGTAATACAAGTTGGGGGCAACTTTTAAGCGGAACTCTCACAGTTGAGCGAGTTACTAACTTACTGTCAATCTTGCAAAACTGTTTAATAAGTTGCAGAAAAAGTTACTTAAAAAGTTACCCCACTTAAGACAACGAGGGAAAATAATTTATAAAAAAAAGACCGAAAGGAGTAGCGTATCAGTAGTTCGTACCAAATAACATAAATGCTTTCTGATTTTGTTTTGATATCGTGCTGAAGTCAGAACACGAACCAAAATCCTTTATTATGCAGATAGCTTGCCTGCCTTACGGAATTTCATGGTTACAAATAGTTAATGTACAGTTAATTATTACATAATCACTGACCAGCACGAAATGAGGCGGAGTCCGCCGATATGAGGAACGGAATACCGGTAGCTATAGTTATGGTCAAGTCAAGTACATTGACTCGCCGTATAAATTTATTTGTGTTTCTCACATTTATATTGTTTTATTTCCAGCTCAATCTCCCTCGGACCCCCACGTCGTCGTATGTTTGCCGGCCATAAATATTAATTATAAAACACGATATCCATTATACAGTTCTTCAGGCACGAAATCATCATCATCATCAACAGTAGTAACAATCTGAAGGGGTTGTTCGCATCGGCCGACAAAATTTTCCTTTTCCCAGTACTCAATTTGTGCATAAAAGTTTTATATAACCTCAAGTCGTGGTAAATTACCTATTGCCGAGCCTTTAAATAGGCTAAGCTTTTTATTGTATGGGTAAGAGTATTTATCCTACTTTTAAATTGCCTTTCCTGGCAAGGAATCCAAAGTATTTTTAATTATTCATCAATGAAATCAGGTTCTCAGGTAAACATTGAAAGAATTTCCAAGAATCGAATATTTAATTTAGGCGTCTAATAAATTGTTGTTGAAGTAGTTTAACGACAGACAATTATATTCTATATTCCTGTAACTATTAATTAGTAAAGTATCTTAATTAATTTCGTTGTAATATCTATTTTAGAAAGACTGGCAGGCTTATTATCAAAAAAACAATCATTTGGTTTAAATGGAATAACGTTTCTCGATAAAGTTTTTTTAAGAGTCTTTTAGTCCTTAAATAAAATTTATGTCGCTTCTTGTTCATTAAATTGTGTCAAATGTAAGCATATTTCCCAGCTCAAGATATATTTTCTTTTTGGATTGTTGCTCTACCACCGTCGCCATCCTTTTTGAGCCACATTTCTCTGGCCTTTTCTCATTTTCTATGTATTGTATAATAATAACATAAAATAATTTATGGCAAATGAAAGTCACAAAAATGCGAGACCAGGCGGCAAGGCAACGGAACTAAAAGTTGGTTTCATGCGCCATTCACCAGGCAGCTTTCTATTGGCCTTTCCCTCGCTGACTTTAGTAAACCCTTTTCCAAGGCGACTCTTTTGAAATTGCCGTACTATATTTTTGGGCGAACCAAGACACACACACACATTTACAAAAACACGCCTGGCCAGAACATGAAAACTTTCATTTTCTTTGCGTTTTTGGCCAAAAATGTCCCTCTAAAAATTTGAGAGAAGGTGCAAGGAGGATACACGGTATATGCTTTGCTGTTACCAAGGCTTTTATGATCATTCGTCTAGCCTCCCTGCCACGCCCCTTGTCGTCCGCATTGCTTTTCCTTTTATTTTTTTGGGGAATTTCAGTCAAGCCTTTGTTTTAAAAGCTTTTGTAGCGCGTGCTTTGAATTTTGTTGCCTCTGCGCTGCTGCATTTTGATGTTTGGCGAAAATTGCGCGACGAAATTCACAAAGGAGCCAAAAATGCACCACAGCCACCCCATTAGTAGCCTCAAAACCGTGGAAAATATTCGGTGATAAACGTTCTAAGATATTACTTTGTCTTGAAATCTTTTGAAAATCCCAAGAACTTACCGGACACAAAGACAAATAAACACCTTGCTAAAATATTTACATCGCCCTTATACTGAAAGTGATAAAAATAGAAAATTCCCCCTTTTCATTCTTAATTAATTAAACCACAGTTTGGTGGGCGTGCTTCAGTTCCTTCCCTCACCTGTCAGCCTGCTGTCAGTTCATCCCTCCAAGTAATTAGAAATACTACGACAAGTTTTCCGCTCTTCTGCAAAAACCATAGAACTTTCACTCAACGGGATTGTCACTCACTCAAACGCAAGCAATTTAATTGCCAAAGGTATTTTTATAAGGCCTAATTTGTGGTTTGTGTGGCAAATAACTATTTTAGTTTAGAAATAGGGAGGGGGATATCAGAAAATTAACTTTCAAGAAATTAATGAGAAATGTAACCTTTAAAGAAACCTAATTAAGGGAACTCCATAATAATTATATATATTATACACGTTGGTGGAAAAAAAAACGTATTAAAGCAAAATATGTTGTACTCTATTTAAATATATTTCGCCTGATTTTCTTCCATTGTGTTTTTTAATTATTTTAAATATATAAATATTCTTATTTCTATTTTGGAATCGATATTAATATTTGAAATTTGTAATTCAAACAAGTCATGCAATTTAATATAAGTAAAATTTAATATTATTACAACATTTTGATTTCAATAGTCAGATATATTATTTTTCTGTTCCATCTTTTGTGGAAATTTGTTATAATAATAAAAACTCACTAAATTTATTTTTTGGTTACATAATAAAATGAGACAAATAATGTTATTTTTTCAAGATTGCTGCAACTCACACACATTGTGTGTAAGCTACCACTAAAATCCCACAGTTGCATTCCTAAAACCACACTAACACACACGACAAGTCAACTATAAAACACAAATTCAATTTGCAGCCACACAAAGCGATTTTGGCGGTTGACTTGTTTGGACATCGCGTGAAGGGTTAATCCTTCAACCTTCTCGGAGGGACATGTTTTCCGGGCGTAACAAAAAACGTCAATCGCCAGCTCCTTCGTTCTTAGCACATTTCCGCGTGTTTGTTTTTGGCAAAAGTGTTTTCATTCTTTTTTTGTGGGACAAAACGTGTTGCTAGTCACAAAAGTTTGCCAACCGAAAACGCGGCGAAGGTGATGCGATGACTGGTCCCGTCGTCCACATTCTTTTCCCGCTCCCTGGAGCATTGGGTAACGGCTGCACTCAACACGTTGACAAGTTTTTGGAGGGAGGTTAGAAGGGAGATAGACATTCGTCAGTTAGTCACAATGTCAGTCGAGTTTCCCAGTTCGTTGCATACTTTTGGCCGCCTGTTTAGCTGAAATGCATTAGCTGACGGAGAGGGAAAGAAAACAGGCGAAGGATTTACCACCCAGCTCCTTAAAGATTTATTATGGCTGCCGTTGTTGCTCTTGTTGTTGGCTACTTTCGGGTAGGTTCAGTGTGATAAAATGCTTGACACTTTTCTAAACGGCCAAACTTTTTGACTGCCAAGAGATTGTCCCTCCGCTCGATCTTAGCCATGCCACCTCGCCATTTCCAGTCCCTCGGTTCCTGTACTTTTTAATGCCCCATAATGCCTGTTCGCAACAACCCACCTCCAGGTATCTTATCCCTTTCCCTGGTCCACAGTCCTCTGCAGTTTGTTGACACTGTCTGGCTTAGAGAGCGCATAAAGTGGAAATGATTTACGCAGTTCACCTTGTTTCTGGGTGCGTGTGTGTTTTCCTACATCCTGTGGGCATAATAAATAGCCCCGGCTTTTGGTCTGGCAGTTTTGTCAAATAGCTCTTCGGAGCTCAAAACACCTGAAAGCTGTTTTTTTTTTTTTTTTTTTTCTTTTCTGCCGGTCCAAGACTTGCCGTGAAGAGAGCTTAGCTGGGAATCTCGGTGGAAAAGAACAGGATGCCTGGGACAAGTGCAAAATTCTTGGGAATAAACTTTTCAATCAACTGCGCAAGTTATCATGGCTTTGATTTGTGGCATTTTTTTGCACTTGCTTCCTTATAAACTAGTTCTGATGCAATTCACACATTGTATATTCATATTCTTCGTCATTACTTTTAATGCATTAAGTAAAAATTCTAACCTTTTTCAAAATTATTCAAAAAAAGTTCTCAAAATGATTAATGTTTGCATTTGAGCATAATAAGGAAAAATTAATTTGTAATACATTTAAATAGGTGTATTAAATCACTTATAAAATGTTTAAAAAATATTCCGACTTTTTTACAATTAGCTAGCATTTTCATCAACGATCAATTTTTATTTTCCATTTTTAATGAATCCATTTATAACTCAAAATAGGTATCAATCAGGAAATCTGCCTTTCTTAGTGTTTTTTTTATTAAGGAAAACAAAAGATGTCCCAGCTCTACAGAAAATTAATAATATATTTATTCCCGTGGGGCTTAGACTTTCATAATAACGTGTAACGAAATATGTATCAATACGTCCAAACTTTTCGGCATCGCTGTACATTAGCTCAGATCGCATTGCTTTTAAAGTACGTGTTTTTTTACAGCGCCCTTCATGTGCTGTTCCACCGATTTCACTGGCCCATCCTGTTCAGAATTCCATAAGCATTTGCTTGGGTGCTAATGGACAGTTTAGAGAGGCAACCAAACGAGAAGCTACTCGTACTGTGGAACTAGCTGCTCTGGGGCCAAACTTACAACAGAGCGAAATGAAATCATAAATGCCAGGACACGTGCCAGGACAACGTGCCTCCAGTTGCAACGAGGTGTTAAAGTTTTCTCAACCCTAACACCCCCACCCACCAAATTTCACTATTTTCTTCTTTCTGGACTTTTTGGCAAGTCCCGCCGAGTCGCGAGTGGTTCGCATTCCGAATGCAAGTTAGTTAAATATTTAAATTTATTTATTGGACTTGGCTTGGACCCTGTCCGGAGTCGCCCTCGACTCGCTGCAGCCACGGCCATTTAAAATAATAAAAAAAGAAGTAGTAAAATAACTAAGAGGGATTGAGGTGGACTTACCGTGTGAATCTTTCGAGGATGGGCCTCCGCCGGATCCTCCTCCTCCTCCGCCAGGACCCATGCTACTGACTCCGCCGGACATTCCTACGCCGGAAGTGGAATGCAGGCGCGCTAATGTGAGCGGCATTAGCAGAGCCATCGCCAGGAGCAGGACCATAAAAATTTTCCACATTGTTAACGTGGCCATTTGACTTTTATTGCACTTCATATTCCCCGTTCGTTTTCGCCCCGTTCTGTCTCTCTCTATATATATAAATATATATATTTTTTTTCTTATAATTTTTCTTTGGCTCCGTTTCTCCGTTCACCCTTCGCCGGATTGTTGATTTTAATTTGATGTGACTTAAGTTGGATTTGGTTTGCAGATTTGGCGCTGCAGTTTTTCTTTCTTCTCTCCGACTTCTCCAGTTTCAGTTTCTCGTCCTCCTAATGGAAGCACATTTCGATTTTCCCCGGTCTCCGTTTTCCCGGTGGCAGCAGCTGCAATCGAGAAAAGAAAATGGTGGGGGTTGAATCCATTGGTTCCATTGGTTTGAGTATTGAAAAGTTTTTAGTTTGGAGGCTAGTTAAAAAGTTGAACAAGTTTCTTTTGCTCTTTTATTCCACTCTCAATTTATTTTTTCTTCTTTCTTTTTTAAGTCAAGTTGAAGCCGCAATTATCGAGTTGTAAGGCGACGCGCCCTGTTAAGACCTCACCCAGATGTTCATGTTCACAGGGTGGGGGAAAACTCAATTTTCGGGCACGAAAGTTTCTCAAAAAGAGATGAGCAAGTTCGTCACCTTACCGGAAAGTTTGGACGATTTGGAGGGTGAATCAAAAGGTGGTTTGACAACATTAGTCATGGATTTTAAGGAGTGTAATTATTGAAGCAAGAGGTTAGAGTGGAATAATAAAATATTACGAGCCCTAAACTTTTAATTTTCTTGGTGGAGCCCGTGGTTTGCATAACACGAGTTTAATGTAGGAAATGGTTTCCACTATAAAAATGTTAATCAATCAAATTCTTCCCTACAAGTAAGGCAAATTCTTTTTGGAAATAAATATTTTATTGTTACTCTTATACTTTGATTACTTTTATTATTTTTAATTGTTTTTGTGAAATTTTTAAAAATTACTAGTCCTGCACGAAAAAGAAATTAAATTTTACCCTAGCATTCTACACAGCAATTTAACATAACAGTTTGCTCAAGTTGAAGATAAGACATTGAAGCAAACAAAAAGTTGCCATTTCCGTTCATCAACCCTACCTTTGCCCTATCCTCATATCTCCCCTCTTACCATCCCGAGATTGCAAGCGAACGATAAAATTCGCCATAAGCAATATTCAAGAAAGGACGAGAAATATTGTATTTTACCCTAAAACATAAAATAAAAGGTAAAAAAAAATTGGCACACGACTGAAGAACAAAAAAGAAGAACAATCTCTCTTTCGGGAAAAATATCCTCAGCAAATAATAATGATTTGCAAATATATATAAAAGGCAAGATATGTACGAAACTTAGAGGTGAAACGAGGGAACAAAATGCTGACAAAGGAGGAAAAGGTAGCGCCAATAAACAGACACAAAAGGTAAGCATAAGAGTTACAAAAACCGGAGAAATGGAAAAGATGTCAGCCCTAGACAAAAAAAAAGGGGCAAATCAATAGGCTACAAAGCGCTGGCGAAAAATCAACCCAAAGTTGGGTCGAAAATTTTCAAGTTCTCTGGGCTAAGAATTCCCACACTTGTTTTCCTGCTCCACCTCCAGCTGCCATTGTCATTTTGTCAACGTGTCCGTCGAGTGTCGTCAACTTGGAGGAGGAGTGTGGAACCTGTCCTTAATAATGATAAGAATGTAAGACAGCGCAATAAGCGACCAAAAATATGGCCAAGAGATAAGCAAAAAGGGCACACTGCCGGAAAGGTGCCAATGTGAAGCAATATAATAATAATAATGACAAAAGAACCTCACCCACCCCTCCGCAGGAAAATAATAATGATAAAACTAATGGTCCGGCTGGCAATTATGAAAAACGAAATTTGCGTAGCGTTTTTTTATTCCTCTGGCGAAAAATGGTTGGAAATAAATAAACTGTAAGAGGAAAGCGGGGGGGGGGGGAGGCTTAACTTGAACTACACTTGAGCAATTTGCGCACAGTCGAGTGCGCACATTAACCCACACAAAGAACGCTCACATACACTTCAAAACAAGCAACAACAACGGGAACAACAAAAGCAACAATGGAGAAATGGCAAAATCAACATGGCGTACAGTGAGCGGAAACGGAAACGTCGGCCGGCCGAGCTAGCGACCAGCAACAGAACCATCCAACCAATAGACAAACACAGAGGGGCTGGTCGGCTAAGCGGGGAAGAGTAGCAGAGAACCAAAAACAAAATAAAAACTATTGTTAGAAAACGAAGTAGGTAGAACTATCAACGAATAGTGGTTACACTACTACGTTTGCAGTTTTAAATATTTGTGATTTGTTAGTGAGTAATTATTGTAAATCAACAATTTATAAGATAAGATTTGTTAAAAAGTACAGTACAATTTTGTACAATCGTGTTCATAATTTAACTTATACTTAAATTTAAAAGTTGTTCTAGTCTCAGTTTAACTAAAACTGCACATTTATCGAGCCTAAATATGTTCTTTATTATTTGATGTTAGATAAATAATCAAAGTGATTTAAAGAAAACCATTTAATACTATTTTTTATTGAATAGACCATTAAACAATTATATTTACCTAATTAAATATAAAAAAAAATTCTTATTTAAAAAAAAATTAAGACATTGATAGGTTAGTTAGTTAGACTGCTTAAATATGTTTATATAGGGTTGAGTATCTGACTGAATATAAAGATTTATTTATATAAAGCTAATATCCAGCACCGACAAAATAAGGGCCTAAGTTAAGTGAGCCCTTTGCACCAAAAGGGCGCATTAAGCATACGTAACGTTGGAATAAGAATGAAAGGATACATTTGATAGACACATTTTATTGCATGCAGTCGTCGTCAGTGGCCTGTCGCTGCTGCTATTCAGTGGCTGAGTGGCAGCAAACTGGAGGGACTGGCAAACCAGAGGGCCCGGGGCAACGATCTCCTGCAGCCAAACCAGAAAACTCATACACAGGCCATCTAGACAATAGTTGTGGCACTCCCAGCCCCTCCCTGCTGTCAATGACTGCCTGGCACTTCCTGACCCTCGATTGGCCTCTCACTTTGTGTCTGGCTCGACGGCCTGCCTGTTGTAGTTTATTATTCCCGCCAGCCTCATTCTTTTCTATTTGGTCTAAATAAATTTTTATCTTGTGCATGGGGCCATGGAGAACAAACAATCTCCAACGGACTCTGGCTAGTCCGTCACTTCAATCTGCCATGCACTTGGTACCTCATTCCGACCGCCAGTCACTCATTCAGTTATTCATTCATTCATTCACTTCCTTCCACTTCCACTTCCACATCCACATCCACGGCCACATCTCCATCCACAGGACTTGGCCTGTTTCGCCTGTTTTGCCTGTTTCTTATGGCCTTTGTGGCTATTGAAGCGATCATTTGGAACATGCACAGAATTTTCTCTCTTTCTTCTTTATCCTCCTCAATATCCCCCCAAAAAGTTATTAATGGCAAAAACGTTTAATATGCGAAAAATTTAAGAAATTGCTTTCATATTACGACATTAATAGCGGCGCGAACGATACAATTTCGCCATTTCTGAATTTTAGTGTCGTTGAGATTAATGCTTTCGGATACAAGTACATTTATACAAATAAATCTATAACCATATATGTAATGACAATCCTTGGTTGACACATGGCCAACACTTAAGCCAGTGGCTTTATGCCTCAGCAGCCGTTGAAATTTATGTCCTCGCACAGGAAATATCTTTTCATGTCGTATTCCCACACACTCGCAGTTAAATGTATAAATATTTATGGTTATGTGTATGTACTTGCGGTCAACAAAACGTCGCCAAATTGTTTTCGAGGCTCTGGTCTAGTTTGATTAACTTTGATGGGCGAATTAGTGATAAATATTTATGTTTTTCTGTATTCCTATGGCCACTGGATGAAATACTAAAATAATGATCTTATTGATTTTCACTTAAGTTGGTTTGTTTCTACCAAAAAAAAGGCATACAAGAAAAAAATAGACACAAAAATGTACCAATGAAACTGATAAGTATTACATACTGCACATACAAATAAGCTAATTTAAAGATATGTCTACATATTTTGTTTTGAATTTAATGAATACAAAAAATTTTACCAATAATATTTACAAATAAGTTTTAGCCAAAGAAGTATTTTTATACGTATTATATTCCTTGTCGAGTTTTAATACACCATATTAAATTTGCCGAGGCAAAAATTCAGGAAATGGATTTAGCCAACGCAAAGCCTTCAGCACACAAATCAAACAGATGCCGCAAAGAGGGACAGAAAGCCAGAATTAAGGCTGGGAAGACTCCTTCTATGTTTTCCTTTCCCTTTGTCAAACATTACCCTCCCGATGGCTGTTTCAATAAACTTATGCAAATATTCAATTTGGGGAAGTTTTTTTTTGACAAATGATAAGACCAAACAAAAGGAAGCCAGACAAATAAAGTTTTCACACCCGAAAAAGGCGAATGAATAAGGGATAAGGATTGCGATTTCCGGCGGTTTGCTTAGCAAAATTAAAATGAGAAACATACATATGTACATACATGGGGGACTAGAGCGTCGGAAGCCCAGGAAAGAGCGGAAATGCAGAGTTCTAAGCAACTTTTCATCGGGCTTTCCATCATGTGAGGCATACCAATCAAGCTAAACAACTTATTTCTAGCTCACATAACACCACATCCTCATTCCTACAGTAAAAGTAAACCGAAGTAAATTTCAATTTAACCTTCATCGAACAAAACTCATTTATATTTATAAATTCGCCGACAAGGCTGCAAAAAAAAAAAAAAAATAAAAAACAGTAAGCTCCGAAAAGAGACAGCCTAAGACTGAGAACGAGACGGAATATGTAACGAGTATAAATAAATGCCAAGCGGGGGGAAGGTCGGAGGAAAAACACAATAAATAAAAATGCGTGTGTCTGTGGTGGCATAATAAAATTGCACCAAAGGCAGCAACAACCCAAGAAAACCTACCAGCAAAACGAACGGAAAACAAATTCAGATAAACCCAGAAAAAGTTAGAGGGAAAGGTTAAGGACGAGGTAACGAATAATAAAAGTGAGGCAAGCCCACACGGAAAAGCGGCCAAAAGGGATAAAAATCCATCAAACTTGCAAATAAGCCACAGGACGAGAAAGATGAGTTTCAGGCCAACCGAATACACACTCGTAGGAGTATGACCAAAAACGGAGGTCGCTCCAGATCCCTCTCAAGAGAATTCCCATGACTGGGGCGGACATTGGCATCGTAAAAGGCAAAAATATTGCGCAAAATAATGTTTCATTTCGGTAAAATAACATACTCATCATTGAATATACAATATAAATGCAATGAGCAAGCCAAAGCAACTAGGGCCGAATATGGGGATGTTCGACACCCACCTTTAACGGCTGACTTGGGCGGAAACACTAAAACTGCCAGCCATTTCGTTTAACTGCTTAAATTATTTTTGTGCGACCGCACAAAATTTCAATGATTATTTTGAAACATTTATTCAATTCCATTAGAATTCGGCAAATTTCAATAATTGTTTATTTATGCATACCTAAGTAATATATTATGCATACCAGAAAAATAAAATACAGGTCAGGTGCACTTTTTAAAACCGTTAATCAAATATTAAATAATTATTTTCTAAAGAGACTGCAAATACCAAAATACTTTTAGTTTTTAAAAGTAATCATAGTGAGTAAGAAAGGAAGGGAAAGTTTTTTATAAAATTGTAAGAATGCAAATGGAAAAAAAAATGATTAAAATAGACTTTGAAATAAATTTAACACGCATAACTTTACATTTATTTCAGACTTTAAAATACCTTTTAGGTATATTAAAATTCGCGCATACCAATCAATTAAACGAATGCCAGACTCTTCAGAATTGGCTGCCTATCCCATTGCTCCTAACGACTTCAATTGCGTTTTCTTTCCCAAGAACTTTACCATACTCCCAAAGGAATACGCTACCCACTCAAATATTTCGAACAAAAGGTGAAAATTGTTTTGGAATCATCGCAACCACAACCGTTTTACCCATCCTCCAACGCAAAAAGCTCAGAGCAGACATCTGTTTGCTTCCTTTGGCGCGTTTTCGTGCCATGTCAGGTTTTGTTTGCTGTTTCTTAATATACAATTTTTTGTGCCATTTCATTCTGTTATTGTTCAGATCGATTACGGTTACAAGTGCCAGATACTTGAGCGTGAAATTCAGAGAGAAACGCACGTGTCTACCAGCCGCCTTTTACTCATGTTGCTATTGCTGTTTCCGTTTGGATAGTCTGTCATTAGGAAGATTGATTTCAAAAGCGTGGAAAATTTTCCCTTAATCGGCTTTTGTTATGTGGAAGGCCACCACACGCAAAGCAGTGTGGTCTATTTACCAAAGGAAGTTCAAATTGTGGGTTTGTTATATTTTTAGAAAATAGTTCGATTTTATTATTGAGTTTATTTCAACAATACAAAATTTCATATTAAAATTATAAACTTTTCACAACGTTATACGATTTTGTATCCATTGACAAAATGACAAAACCAGAAAAAAGATCGACCCAACTAAAATGTGAATATTTACATTTCAATTTGCGTTACTGCAAAAACTTACATAAGGCAAACAAAAACTTTCTTAATGCAGCCATAAAAAAAAAAATGATGAAATTGCATAGAACTTTACCTCTGAAACGCACATTTGTAGGGGGGTTGAAGGGGTTAAGGTTTCAATGGGGTTGGGATTGGAGGGTAAAAAGTACATTAAAATCACATTAACCCGTCAACGGTTAAGGTTGGGTATGCGTAACTTTTGTTTATACGTTTCGACTTAATGCCTTTTTGAAGTAAGCACACTCGTGGAAAATATGTACTCCAGATAAGCCACATATACGTATGGGTAGCACTGTCAACTAACCCCTAACTGCTAGTCCCTTTGGGGAATGTATCTCTCCCACTGCTCGTAATTGACTTTTAGCCATAAATTTGTACTCCAACAAGTGCAGGCAACATTCAGTCCGGGCTCAAAATCCATGGCCCCCTTGGCAGCCCAATTAGCCATTAAGCTTTTGGAAATTGTCAAAAATGTTTGTGGGGCAGTGCGCGAGTGAGCCAATCAAAAATTCAGCCTACGCATTTGTATCCCTGCATTTGTATCTGTCAGAACTCCGGCCGAAAACCCACACCCCTTCACTCTTATCTCCGTTTTTGGGGTAGCCGTGCGTGTCCATTTGGACGCTTTGGAACAGTCTTCCTGCTCATTTGCATATTTTAATTGTCCAAAAATGAGAGGGAAATTCGTAAAATCACTGCAAGACTTAAATATTAACTTGCCCAGCAGTTTGTAATTTCTCACTCTTTCACTTCCATTTACTGAACTAATTTATTTATTTTCTCCCAAACTAAGCAGCAATTGTATTTGCCTTGGAAGAAAGGTGGAAAGGACGCCCAGAAGTTGTCACTTTTCTCTAATGAAAGACGACATGCAAATTTAATAAACAGGCGAAAGGCATGAAATTTGGGTCCTTCAGGTGGATTGTATATAAGTTGGGCCTGACCTGAGCTCGTGAAACTTTGGGTCATGAACAGTGATTGCTCTTTTAGTCATTCTCCCATTGTTTACAACTAACACAGTTAAACTTAATTTTTGAGTTATATTTTATGATTTTCAAGGTATTTTAGCTTGGGTAAATTGTACTTGGCACAATCACCTTATACAAAATGGTTTTCTTAATTTCAAAATTAAGCTTTAATTGAAATAAAAAACTCAAATATTATAAATACAAATATTTTATTTCTTCACACATTTATCAGTAACTTATCTTTCTCACAGTCTTTTTTTTCAAAATTTTCATTTTTCACCACTACATTTTGCATTGCTAGACAGAGAATGGAACGAAAAAAAATATGAGCAAAGACGGAAAAAAACAAGTAAATAAACTTTAGGCAAAAGTTTTTGGCAACTTTCTGGCAGTCAGTTGGCGCATTTTAAGTTACGGCATTCGGCGCGGCCCAGTGGCGTAGGAAAAGGGGGGTAGATCTCCGGGGAATACAAGTTGCCAGCGACGGTGGCAGAGTGAAGGGGCGGCAAAAGTGAAAAACTGGCGCATCGAGACAAGAGCTTAAAACCGCGAATTCCACAACTTTCACACTGAGAAAAGCAACACACGATTATTGACAGCCCCAAAAAAATATAATAAATAAATAATAAAATTTCATCACGGATATAATTGACATAATTGTTTAAATGTTTTTATATACTTTTTTCTTTTGTAAATAGATTTTTAAATTGCCTTAAGTTATATAAAAATGGATTACCCTCAAGAATTTACAAATATATAAGACAATATAGATACCATTCAAACCCACAGCTTTGAAAATATTGTTTTTTTTTTTTATATTACTCCGGATAATTTTTAATTAATTGTTCGTCTAATGGCTTTGTTGTCCTAGTTCTTGAATATTATGTAATCAAATTACTTAGCCAAATAACAAACTATTTACTTCATTTTCTTTTATGTTCTACTTGTGTCATTTCCACTAAGCTGGTAAAGAGAATGGAATAAAACAGCAAACTCCATTAATTAATTCCTGCAAAGTTGCAAACTTCAACGCTGTTCAGCGTTTTTTCTCTATCTGCAGCAACTGCGAGGGCGGGTGGCAATTTCAACTTTAGGTCGCAAAGTTTCGGGCAAAAAGTCACTCTTAAAGAGCAAAAAGTGAGGCCAACTTACCTGGCAAACAATTTAAATTTGTCCCACGCAGGATAATCCTTTATTGCAGTTGTTGTAACTATTTGTGCTGCTTCTGTTGCTTCTGTTGCTGCTGTTGCTGCTGTGGCTATTATTGTTGCTACTGTTGCTGGACTTTTGTCACGCACAAGAAGGCAGTGGGCCAAGCAAAGGCAAGCCAACTTTGAACTGACCACGTGACCATCAAAACACAAACAAACACACACACCGAGACACACGCAAATACACACGCAGACACACACACACTCAGAAGACACTGGGGCACTTGCAAATGCTTAGTGGCTGGTTTTAATGTATGCCCCAAAACGAGAGCAGGGCAATTAAAGCGCCTAAAAGGAGTCGGAGTGAAGCGTTTGTGTGTGCAACATGATTTTTTCTGCCTTTTCGAGAAATAAACACGCAAACTCCTATGCAGCTCCCAACTTTTCTTCCCCTTCCAATCGAGACTGGAATACTCTAATTAGCAATTATTGATTTCGATAAGTGGTTCTTTTTGGCGGTACGAGATTTATTTATTCGCGACAACGAACCCGATTGTGTGCAGGACGCAGGACGAGACCCGATAACTTCGCTTATTCGATGGCTGCCGCAGCGAGCGTCAGCATCCCGGCAAACACGTTCGAAACAGTCCGACGGCTGAGCTTCAACTGAATCGGTGTGGCCAGCTCAGAGCTCCACAAGCCCCACAGTCCCCCGCCGGAAGTCGGCTGCCCGAAGCTCCAACCCTCGGCTGCCGAACCCCCAGCGAGCGCCTTCCGAGCGCCAGGATAACAGAGCCGAGCGCTTCAAAGGACAACACGAGCGGAAAAGTCACGAGCATCCACCAAACAGCTGAATAAAGAGAAGGCGCTCTGACCTAACCAAGTTAAGGCCAATTTCAAAATCTACAAATATTTAATCAGACATTTGGTTAAATATATTTATTTAAATATTATTTTCTTTTCTTGGCTTATTAGAAATTGTATTTAGCAATATTTTTTAGGCAATTAATTTAATTAAAGTATCGCCATATATTAGAAATGGCTTTGGCCTAATTTATAATTTTTGGGATTGTATGAAAACCTGGAAATTAGTTCTTAAATTGTTTGCCAAATTTACTGACCTTCAGTTTAAATCGTGAGTAAAAGAAAATATTTAAAATTACTATTTTTAATTATTATTCTTATCGCATTCATCAACCTCTTATTTCTTGATCGGCAATAGTGATAATCAGAGAATATTGACATTAAAGCAATTAGAATTTTAAGAGATGGCTGAATACTATTAAGAGTAAAACTGAATGTGAGCTGGATTCTCTTACCGCGACTGTCTTATACTTGGCTCAAATAGGTATAAACGTGGTTAGGGTCTTGGCTTGGTGTATTTTTGAGCGACTGTGTAAGTATAATATGTAGAAATTTTATACATTTTGTAAAAAAGGCTTGATACTCATTTTGTATACTCGCCAGTTTAAAAACTTAAATCTTTCTAGTGTAACTGAATTTTTCAGATTCTTAATGCCAGTGGTTGGTAACGCAATATAATTTTCTGGTATTTTTTACGTAGATCTGAGTATCAGGGTTAGAATTATTATTACTATTTGCTTCGCTAAACTTATAAATTATTCTGGGTTTCTTTTCTTGTACAGGATCTTAATCTTAACAAATGTTTCTTTGAGCACCTCCATGGTTTTTACACTCCCCTGGCAATTAAAGAGCAAATGTCCAATCAAAGGTAGCGTCTGTCAGCTAATTAACTCCAGATTTTACTCATCCCCCAAGGCACCTTTTGCTCAAACCGTTCCTCCCTCTTTTATTAACTGCAATCACTCAAAGTGAAAATTGCCATCGAGCTCCGCAGAAGCTCATACAAGACGCGTAAAAAATGGCAAGCGAAAAAGGCAGACAGAAAATGAAACCCGAAAATGAATTGCAGCAAAATGCTCAAACACACTCTGCGAAATTGACTTAAATAAATAAATGGCATAAAAACAAAGACAAAACACATGCGCAGCAAGAAAGTGAATCGAGAAGCAGGGGACAACAGCATGTCATAGAAACAAAGTGCATTCCCTGGAGGAAAATTGGGGTAGGGTGGAAATGCCGGGTTTTGTTAGCTTGTTGCAACATTTTCATTTCATTTTATTCAGTTCAGTCAATGCAATGCAACGTTCGAATGCAACAACTACTGCAAGCGCAGCAAAGACAACGCTTAGTAGCTCATCCATTTTCATTTGCACTAAGCTAAAGGCAAAGGACATGGCCAAGTTGCAGCGGAATTTCCACCCGCGTAAAATAAAAGCGATGGCATTACTCAGCAAATACTTGTTTGCTTGCTGCCTTGACAAAAAGTCTATGGCCCCTGCCTCCGCCTTCATTCCGCACTTGCTTTCCCTCGGGCTGCTCGTTAGCACAGCTGCCAAGAGAATTTATCTTACTCCCTCGAATGCAACTCGATTTTATTTTATTTGTGCCCTCATTGTTTCTGTTTGGCATATTGGACGTATTGTTAGCCCCACAATGATCGATGCAAATTGATGCGTATTGTTAATGGAATTTTTGCCATGCGAAGAAAACAGTACGGAAAAGTATGCAACACAAATTGGGCGGAAAACAAAAGGATGCTAAGGATGGGAAATGTCAATCATATATTAAGCCATAAGTCACAAAAAAACCCTAGAGATATTAGCTAAAATGAAAATCACAAATACCGGTCGAGGTTAAAGTTTTAAAGTCTTAATAATGGTCACATATATTTAATATTCAGATTTAAGTAAGATGAAAAAATTCAAAATTTTAATATATGTTGACCTTTCTCACTTCATGTTCTCAAAAAAAAAAAGAAAATACAAAAAAACAAACCCTGAAGATGCCAGCGAGGTAGAGGAAAAAATGTCATAAATAAGAACGGTTGCAATTTGTTTATATTAAAATTGAGAGTCAAAAAGCATCCTAAGGTGGAGGGTTGGGCGGTGTTCTTGTTTCCTGTGCCCAGATTCCCATTGCATTTGGCTCTGCCAACAGCCCCGCCCCTCTACTCCTCCGGTGGTGCAGTATCGCCTGCTGTTTTGTGAATTATGCGCCTTCCGTTGCATGCGGCGGCATTTCCCAGCCCGAGCCCAAGCTCAGGATAGTACACTGAAAACAATTATTTCTATACCTTGGTAAATATAAAATAAATTTATTTATTTTAGAGAATCTAAATTGGTTCCCTACAATAAAGTACATGAAACTTGACTTCTTTTATGACGAAGATAACTTTAAGTTAAGACCAGATATTTTATAAGAATGTAATACAGATATTACTTTTCGAATGGCGAAACATGTTCATAAAAAAAGGTATTTGTGGCCCGATTTCATATAATTAGACCTGATTAAATTCTTTATAGAAAATGATAGAAAAATAATAATTTTGTAGTTCACCGTGTAGCTCTTGCCGTTTCCAAGGCCCAAGTCCAAATAATGGCTTGACGCGCCTGGCTGCATATTTTTGAAGTCAGCGGAGATGCAGAATGTGTGAGTCAGAAAAGGAAAGGAAAGAAAGTCAGTCCACCCACAACTAACTGCGCTCGTTTTTGTAATAAAAATGTCATAAATCTTGATTCCTTGAACTCTAAACCGAAAAGCGTGCGATAGCGACACAGGACATCGCTCTGCCCTTCTCGCTCGCTCACATTCAGCTTGTGGGTGGGCAATATAACTGTCTATTTATGCTCGCCTTGCATATGAAGTACATTTTATTTGTTTTTATTTATTTGCACTCGTTTGCAAGGCTTTTTCCTGCCCCCTTTCGCCCGCTCCACTGAGCAGCAGTTTATGCAGATATAATTGATTTATTTGACTAGCTTAAGTGAGAATAAAATCTGGTTAGGCGGGCGAGGAAATGCATACTAAGACAAGGGATTTAAGTATCTGAAAATCAAGGCAAATCTAGCCAAAAGGATATGGTGTTTAAGTAAATCCAAAACTTTTTTCTTTAAGAATATATATACCAAAGCCGATCAAACAATCAAACTCAACGAAATCCTTAGTACGTCATATTTTTTCCAATCTAATCGTTTTTAACATTGTCAAGCTTAAACATTACACTTACAGAGATTTTAGATATTTCTTTTCGACTTATTCGTTATAGACACTGGCATTGAATTCATATTACAAATAATAAATTACTCATTAAACTAAACATCGGCTTTTTGTCATAACTCACGCTCCCTTATTCATCTTACTTATTAATGTGTATCTTTTTCTGTGTGCGCGTGTGGCAGGATTGTCTTATCACAAATGAACATCACTTAAAACACATGTAAACTAAAATTTGATTTGATTCGTGATTAAAAGGTTAGCTTAACATTTAAAATAATTTAATTAAAGTTATAGTTAAATTTAACATCGATTTCGTTTTTTTAAATCATTAAGGTAAAAGTATGTGATCTTGTCAATTATTAAATATGCTCATCCTATGTTGTCTTGAATTGGTTTTGTTTAAGTTTAAGAAATTATCACAAATGGTTTTGTTATAAAGTTTTGTTTTTTTTTTCTAATTTTGTCCAATAAGTCAAGAATTAATCAAGCCCAATAAAAATGGTAGATTTTTATGGTTTGTCCAATGGCAATCACCAGTGATCCATGTCACGAATACGCTCCACTGGGGGATTTCTATGACGAAATAAATCATAATTAAATATTGATAAAAGAATATTTTTGTCTTCCAGAAAAAAAAACAAAAACATATCTTGCAATGAACAAATGAAAGGAACTCATACGGAAATAAGTTTTATTTTGATTTTGTGAGGGATTTGAGAGAGCCTAGAAATATTATATAATTGATTTTATTTATTTTTCTAAATGTTAGGAAAAGGTTTAAATTTTTTCATCGTTAATAATGAGAACGTGATTTTATGTAAATTTTTGTACTTACGGCAACATCCGCGCCAAGGCATGCTTGTGCAGCGGTGAGATTTGCACGGCTGCCGAGGCAATACTGGATCCAGAGTCCTGCGACATGGTGCGCTGCATATGGTGCATGGGGTGCTGCACCACCGGTCCACCCACAAACTGCAACTGCTGCTGGTGATGGTGCTGGTGGTGCTGATGATGCTGCTGCAAGGGGTGCTGATGCAGCGGATGCGAGTGCTGCTGCTGCTGCTGCGTGAGTTGTTGCGACCTTCGGAAGGGATATCGCCAAGGACTCTTCGGAGCATCCGATTGGAATGCCTTGTTCTCTACTCCGCCACTGCTGGACACTCCTGCAGGACTATCGCGTCGCGGTGCCGTGCCGGGTTGCATGTCCCGGGCCTTTGAGCTGAGGCGACGCAGGATGCGTGACCCCAGTCCAGGTGGATCCTCCAAGCTGCGACTGTTGCGCGGCTTGCGGTAGCGCACATCACTGGACTCCTCCAGGATCACATGGCGATCATAGGGCGTGCCGTAGTAAACCTCCAGCACCGTGGAGAAGGTGTGCGGCCAAACCAGGTCAATTATGGATATCAGAACACCCGCAATAAAGCAAAGAATGCCTGAAATAGTACAGGTATTCTTTATAATCAAATTTGTTCTAGAAAACCTCTGAGAATTTAAAACAAAAAAGAAAAATTGAATCACTTGTGACTTTAAATCAATTTAAAATGTTTATATGCTGACTACAAATTTGTATATTAAATAATGGGAATGTTATAAAGGAATGAGTAACGAATTAGAGCTGTCTTTGTCATTCACCCAAATTGATTGTCCATTTCGATAGCAATTCACTCACCTGCCACCAAAACCAGCCAGTAGCACCAACCGAAATGGAACTCCAGTCGTCCGCCCTCGAGGTAAATGCACAAAGGTCGCTTTGGCAGAAGGCAATGATAGCCCACCGTGGTGCAGACGAGCAGGGCACCGGTCAGAGCCTTCATATAGGCGCCGTATCGAGGAACTGCCAGCAGCAGCAGGTTCATCAGCAGCCACGAGGCCAGCGAGGCCCAGAGCATAATGCTCGCAAAGTATCCTGCGGCCCGATACTGTCCGCCCCACGAGAATCCCTCGCGGCCCAGGCTAAAGTACTCGGCCACGGTCAGGATGGGAAAGGGAAGGCCTCGCTGCAGGGCATGCCGATAGTTGGCACTCATGTCGTTGGCCCCTTCCCAGGTGAATCGCTCATTGTAGTCAATGTCCGGTGGGGTCCAGTTTCCAATGGGAATCGCTGAGGATATACGAAATAATATCATTAGTCAATTAATGCTACTAGAAAGTGGTATTGATTGCTACTTATTGAAATTTCATATTTCAAATGGTAAGTTGTTAAATATTTTAATACCCAATTAAATATCTTAGTATTTGTTAGCATCATAGGCAAAATAAATATCAAATTTTTAATTTTAACAATGCACGTTTTATTAGTAAAAAAAATATTGATTCTTGTCCAAGATATTGCATTCTAAACAACAATTGGAATAGGTTTCCGCTCTGTTAAGCAAAAGATATTAACTTTAGTTATACTAACAAAAAATATTGCTCACTTAACAATACCTAGACGATGTAAACGTGGCCAAGATCGTGACAGGTAGAACCTTTTTTTATTTGCAAACTGACAAATGCCAACAGGCAACACCTTCAAATTGCACTCGATCATATAACCTTCACAGCAATTACAGGCAAAAAAACGGGTAAAACAAAAAAAGAAACAAGCCAAATGATTATTTCCTGTTGCAGGCGGAAATGTTTGTTGCAGTTGCACAGCGGCTCGCACCACACTGCGTATGCGTAATATGTTGATTTTCATGCCGCTCCTCTTACTCGGCAGGCAATTCATTGTCAATGGCTTAAACGCGCTAACCTTACACAAGCCGACTCAAGTGAGCGGCTACAAAAATGCAACACTAACAACGAAATCGCATAATCAATGTGCAGCAAGTATACTTTTTTTTCTGTTTGCATATTTTATTGAGACTCGTCAAAATTTTTTCCGGTTTACAGCGCACGCGCTTTTGGCCCGTTTTTATATTTATTTATTTATTTTGCCCACTCCTCAGCAAATTTGAAAGAGAGTGAGCGAAAAAAATGCTCAACAAATAAGCCAAATCATTTGCATAATTTATAGACAACTTTGCACACCTCTCGAGCGACCAAACAACTTAACCATGTGATTCCGCATTGGTTAATTCCTTTAAAGACTACAGCAAAATAAGATTTACCAATAGATGCAGAACATGACGCATGGGTATATTATAAACTAAATTTGACTAATGGACATTCGTTTTGGAATTTTTTATGAATGGAAGAGAAACTCAAGTGGTTTCCTTTCCATAAAACAATAAAAGGAGCACAAAGCAAATTATAGATTCTACCCACTTTAATCGGAAGATTTGGCGACTTTAAATTCTAAAAGCATTTTAAACATTTATGCAAAAATCATTAATCTTTTATTTTCGCTTTGCTTTGAACAGCTAAAAGGGGTCTTCATCGACAAGAAATTTAAAATGATATATGATTGCTATGGCTTGGAACTGATCACGTTGCCACAGTGTCTGGCACAGAGTGACAAAATATGCAAATAAACTTAAAGCCAACAAAAAAAATAAAAACAAAAGCACAAAATTATTATTGGCAGAGGAATGTTTAATTAAAAGCTTAAGATTAATCTCTGCAAATAAATAAAAGACATGGAAAAAATTTTAATACTTAAAACTCAGCGAGTATTAATACCAAAAAATATGTCAAAATACAGAACCAGTAAAACGTTTTAATGGAAAAAAATACAAAAATTAATAAATAATAAAATGTAAAAAAGGAGCTCAGAAGAGGAAGGTTAATTAACGTAAGATACGAATTTAAAATAACCTTAAAAGCCATTTATAAATATTAAATATCATAGTGGATTAAACATCCACATCTTGTTTTTCCACTCAAATTTTTCAGTATTTCCTTAAGTTGTTGAGTAATTTGTAGTTATTGGTTGCTTGCCTATAGAAGCCAGAAACTATAAACCTATTATTTATACAAATATTCCCACGCTCCATACTATTAAAAGGCTTTACCTAACTGAGTGACTCATGCGAGAGACGTAAGCCGGCAAGCGGTCTAATTTCATGCCCAAAATTGGCTGCCTCCAGTCGAAGTAAGCTTACAAATCACAAACTCAGCGCCACGAAAAAAATGTAAATAAATTACATAAATCGTCAAAAGTTGTCATATAATATATGCTTTGGGGCTTGGCCTTCGACTCGGGACAAGGTTTTGGCCTGGCCTCCGTTTTTCCCCTCTCCATCGCGATTAAAACTGCACCGAAAATGGCAACCCCGACCTAAGCCAAGTCTACGCACTGTCTACGCACATTGTGGATCGATGGTGGAGTCATTAAACTGACAATCGTTATGATTTCCCAGTTGGTGGTGACCGGACTGACTTGTTTCGCCTCGGGTCTCGTGAACGTGGAAATGCTGCAAGTTGAACCGGTTCAATTCACTTTGACCATTTGAAATGGTAATTGCTGAGCTCTTTTGATTTAAACGTGGTTTATAGCTGCAGCGATACGGATCTAATAAACGTGGAAGTAAGAGTTGGTTGGTTTTAACAAAAAACAAGCAATAAATTCCAAGATTTGGTAATCGGGTAATAAAATATTTGCAATTACTCTGCACCCTAGATAAATAGATAATTACGGAAAGCAATTAAATTTATATGATCACCTTAAAAGGAATTTATTAGTAAACTAAATAATCGTAATTTTTATTAGGAAAATGTCTTATAAAACAGCCCATCCTAACACAAAAATAAAAAAGTAACATAGGTCTGGAACAAAAAAAATTTGAATAATTTGCTCATCAATAACATAAGCCTTACCTTATAGTTTTAAAACAAACGTTTCTTTAATATATTACCTAAAGTATATGTACAAAAAATTTAATCAAATTTATTAATGATTCTTAAAATTTGATGAAACAAAATTCTATATTATTTAATGGTTATTTTCTGACGTTTTTTTCTTTTCAATAGCCAAGTATCATTAAACCACTTGGTTCATTAACAACTTACAATGCGCCGTTGTTGTTGGCACCCAGAACAAAAATAAACTTCCGTAAACTTCAAACTTCTTCCACAGAGCCAAAAGTGGTTGTATTGAAAATAAAACGTTGAAACAACAATAGCAACATTAAAAAAATTACCATATCTACGTATACGAAATTGATGTTCCCCTACGTGATACTTGAGACGGATGACGATGATGTTGGGTAGCTCGCGCTTAAGTATGGGCATCCGCAGCAGCAACAAAAAACATAAATAAATTTAAGCATTTTTATGCCTTTTCATAATTTTAAGTGATGATTATGCTGATTTTCGTGTTTACTTTGCACAGATCGCAGGCCGAGGAGAGAAGTTCGGTGTTGATGGGGCTACGAAAAATAATTTGGCGGCAGTAGCGGTGGCAGTAAGAAAAAACCTAAATTAATCATGACTTTACAATAGACAAGGCACACGACACACGAAAACACAGCAGAAAGACAATGAATGAGCTGAACCGCTTTTTTCTCTTAACTGTGTACCGCTCCTCCCCATCAACAGCCGCCATGTGTCTGCAGTAATAAATGAATGTTCCATTTCTGTCATGTGCTCTGAACAACGCTGGAGTAAGTAGCCCATGTCCATCTCCATTAAGAAATATCTAAAACCAATATGGAAAAGCTGATGAAGAAATCAACTGTTTTATAAATAGAACGTTCGACCTTGAGCATTTGATTCATTTGAGTGTCATATAATAATTTCTTAGACCGATTGTGTATTCTTTAAAATCGGTTCAAGCTCTTAAAATCTAAAAATAAATAACGGTGTTAAACAAAAATTAAAGATTATTCACTTTTTTGTTTCAAAAACACTTTTAAATGTCCATGTACTAAAAAACTTTCTATTCACAAAATAAAGTTTAAGGAATTTTCTTGGCAACACAATGAAATATGACAACAAATATGCCAATGAAATATGACTGGTACTATCTCAATTTCTTGTTCTTTTTATTCATTTTCAATGAGCTGCAAACGACTGAGAGCAACGAAATGAAGCTGCGTCTAACAATGCCAATCACAATTACATGCAACACCTGGTACCCTTAATTTCCCACTTCAATTGATGTCTAAGCCCGCAAACAAGTTGGCTAAACGCCGCGGTTAATTGAGCATACTGCACACACCCACAATAGACGTAAATGATGGAAGTATGCACAAGCATATAACAATAAATATAGCGTAACCTATTCAAGAGTCGAATAAATGCCAGACCACAATGAAAAAGTGCAACAAAAATGGAAGTGCACAAAAGTCATAATGATATATAATTAAGTGCACAAAAGTCACCGCAGATTGGCCCAAAAAATACAAAGAAAAAAAATCACACAACAAAACAAAAAGAAGGCTTTATAAAAATAAGTAATCATCATTATAAAAAGATCATCATCATTGGGGTATTTGATGATTGGGCTGAATAAACTACTGGGACTCAAATTTTGACACCCAAATTCGACATTTGCCTGACTTTGATTTGGCAATGGAAAATGCTTCAATTGTAATTGAAAAACAACATTAAAAGTAACTATAAACCATACTCATAACGAGTGCAACAATTAAGTTGTCAAGCCAGACTAAGCCGTATATCCAACTACCACTCCAAAATTGACATGCGCAATTATCATATTCAAAATCGAAATTTATACCATGAAAAAAAGCGTATGCTCGCAGAGCAGCAGCTGTCAACTTGAGGCAACATTTGCCCTTTTACCATCGAGCACAATCGCCCACCAAATCCAACCAGCAACAATGGAAAATGAAAACACGTGAAACACTTTTGGCAAACGTCATTCACTGGGCTTTCCGGGATGGTGGTGACTACCGAAATAACACTCCCACGAAACGGGAAAAGGGGGAGATACTCCACAAATCTGTATTAGTCAAAACCAATATGGCAACCGACATAATGCCCACAACCAACAGTTGAAGAGGCAACAGGGCAAATATATATTAATGCACATATGTGTACTTCCAAGAGTATCTGTACACAGCCCTTGGTGTATTTTACACTAAGAAAAATATTATTCCCTGGTGTTATTTAAATAATTATTAGCTCTTATTTATCGCTGAAACTTGTTTAAAATTTATAATGCGCCAAAAAATTGCAACTGTTACTAAATACAGATAAAATAAGTTGTCAGAGATAGTTTAGTATAGTTAGTATAGTAGATATAATATATTTATCTATATAATGCAAGTAACGGTAAAACAAATAGTCAGCTATAAACAAATTCGAAAGACTAAACATTTTATAAATCCAATTACCCTGCTGCTAAAGTCACAACTACTTGCACACCAAATATTTAGATATCTATGCAGAAATCGGTTGCCCTCGAAGGGCATCATAAAGTTTAATCTCCAAATACGGCAAACAAAAAATTATTGCTACTGGGCCAAACAATCCCAATGGCTTCACCGCTTTTGCTCACATTCGATTTTGGGCAGTGAGCGGGGGAAAGGGGTTGGCAGGGATTTGATAGGATTGGATGGTCCGGATTATTCGTGCTCGAGTTGACTTCAAACTGGCATTCCAATTGATTCAGCTGGGGTCTAAGGTAGCCCCGGCTCAAACACAAAAGCATTTCACCTTTTCGATGAGCCAAGTGAGTGAGTGAAACGAGCGCAAACAATCAAACAAGCCGGCGAACTCATATGTTTGGATAGATATGTGTGCATAGAGGCCTCCTCGTCGAGCGTTTGCTATTGGAATCGAATATTTCCGCAGGTGTCGAGCTGAGCGCGAGTCGAGTGGCATTTCAATTTGTTGCTTTTGCTGTTGTTACTGTTGTTGCCCGCTATTGTTGCCAAGAATCGTGACATGCAACTTGACTTGGCACTTGGCAGGAGCCAACAAACAAAGCGGCAGCAACAACCGCAGCTGACGTCACCGCCCACACTGCGTTTGATAGGCAACCAAAAGCGAACGGCACCGAAAATTATCGCAAAAAGATCTGCCACAAGTTTTGAAATCAATTAGCCAGTAGCATTAGTCAAGTCAAGCCCTAAACTGCAACTGCTTCCAAAATAAAACCCCAAAGATTTTAATTAAAAACTATGGATATATGCAGCAATTTTTGTTCGTTTTGAAATCTGAAATAAAAATTACTCAATTGTTTTCGTTGACGTTCGTAGTTTATCTCTCATCGGGGATCGACTCGAAAAACGGGGGCGTGCACGACACTGCCTTTAAAACTCAAAAATCAACACAAAATGTGGGGACAAGCAGGTATTATTTTGGTTAACGAATTTAATACTCAGCTGGACATGCATACACATATAAAAAATAAAAACCCACAAAAGCTATTCAATCAACGATTCAGAGAAAAAGTGGGAAAGGGTTTATTGTTTGAAAGTCCACTGAACTCTAAGTAAATGGGCAATATTTTTCCATGCCTTATTGTTTGAATTCAAAAAAATTTAAAAAAACCATTTTACATTTACATTTTTTAAATATATTTCAACTTTAATTATTTTTTCAGCAGCTATGGCTGACACTCTTTCTGTAGCCTAGTTTTATACTTAAGCTTACAGTGTACAAATAAAAAAATAAATAAATTATTATACATTAAATTTAACACCAGTTGAAAATGCATTAATGCAAACATCAGTTGAAAATGCATTAATGCAAACAAAGAGCTTATATAAAATCAAAAAAAAACACCATTTGAAACTCTTTGCTTAACAATTTAAAATAGTGCGTGCATCATATTTCTAAAGAGTACGTTACATAACCGTCTAAAAGTTCTTATTAACAAATTGCAACTATCTTAAACAGAAAATCCGCATCGGTGACTCCGATATAATCAAATATGACAACCCATTCACCCATGGCAGAAGTACCTACTTGTTGGCGGATCGGATTGGATAGGATTGGATTGGCAAACTTACCCGTCAGCGTCACATTGACATGCATGAGGCCAATGTGGGTGCCGATGCGCGCTGGGAGCTTCTCGCGTGAGAAGGCTTTGTACGGCGCGATGATGGTTGCATGTGCCACATGCCACGCGGATCCCAGGCGGGTGACTGTTGGATAAAGATGGGAAACGTTTCCCAGGTTGAGCATTGTTGGTGTATGCAAATCGAATATAATATTGTGCTAATTGAAGGTCACTCTACTCACTTAGTATGACTAGACCCACAAAGAGGCTCAGTGTGACTGTCGAAAACGTTGTGAACTTCTGTGAACGAGAAGATATTTAAAATAAATTAAAGTTTAATAAAAGCCAAGCGAATAACATTTAATGTTTGCAATGCTCTAATAAAGCCAACAAGTCGATAAAAATCAGCAGACAAGAAAAAAGGGCGCGCCTTGTGAAAACGGGTTTTGGTTATGACTCTCTCATTAGAGGTTTATATGTACATTGGCCACGATTTATCTTACTTCTGCTGGAAACGTGCCGTCGATTACGGCGATGCCAGGCAGTTGGCACAATTCAATTAAACAGACCAACCGACAGCAGCGTGAGAAAACTGATTCCAACCTGACTAGCCACAATGTTGCCTAGTGTATGTTACGGTAATAATATACACAATAACTTTGCTTATCGTAAAATATATTTATTAAATTGAACTAACGAGCTTTCTTGACATTTACGGACTGTATATTACATCAAATTAAGTCAGAACTGGTTCAGAAATGTCAAACCGATGAAAGCTGAGCACTTTATGCACTCGAGGTCTACAATAAATTAAAAGTCATTTTTAAAATACTTTTTAAACATTAAAACATTTGAAGTTTGAGTTCGTTAAGTTAAACATAATTGTATTATAAATAATAAATTATATTGTTTATTGAAACTAAATATTTCTGAATATTTAAATTGAATTACAAAATTAAATGTTGTTTTAATTAATTTGTTAAATTTTACATAACTTAGAAAACATAAATTACCTGTTTTCGTACACCCGGAAAAATGACTAAAAATGCCACGTAAAATGTGGCAAATAGTACGGAGACGGCCACAATTGAAACATCTCCGGTGACGGGTGTTCGGTTTGAGAAGGAATATAGCGTTGGTCCCCCATCGTCTCGAAACGCGTCGAACCAGCCTTTCATGCTGGTTGCTGTTGCTGAGGTCGGGGCTTGGGATCTGTGGGAAAAAAAAATCATATATGTATAAGTCATCAAATAAATAATATAGCTGCAAAAACGGTGAAATTATTTTTGATTGATATATGTGTGTGGATATTTTGCAAGAGCACTCAATTAAAAAGATTTGCATTGCAAAATCATGCGAAACTCGGCACAACTGATCTCATCGCATCTTACAGATACCACGTATCTGCAATTCGTGACTAAGCTTTTAGGTAGCAGATACTTCAGCTTCAAGTGACAGGCAGCTCAATGCAAAATTAGTTTGGTAAACAAAAAAAATATGCAAATATTTTTTTGGAATGCATTGGGAGTATCGGCCAAGTATACATAGCTACCCGGAAATGTAAAATTCAAAATAGCTTAGGTATCTTCACGGAGTACAGAATTATGTTCTTCTGAACACTGAAACAAAGGAATTTAATGTGGTCGCTCTACAAAATTTTGTTTGAAGCTACGAAAAGTTAACAAACCAGAAATGAGACCTAGAACCGGATCCAAAGACAAACAAATTAACAATAAAATGCTACGTCGAAATCTTAAGATGCCATGTGGGGGGCTTGAACAATTAAGAAACTGAAACAGCAACTGAAACCGGCGAGAAAACACCATCAGCTTCGACTGCCGACTTCTGCTTCTGAAGCAATGACGTAGGCAAAATTATAATTAAGTGTCGATAAAATTGAATGAGTTAAACACAATAGCAACACGATCGTAGCGATTTAGTAAATACCCTAGCAAATGTTTAAATTAAACGTGTTGTAAAGCTTAAAACTTATAAATAAGTTTATTGTTTAATTTTCATTAAAAACTAACAAATGGTTTGAAAACAAGTAATAGGAGGTAATCTCAAGTAAGCATCTTATGCAAAATAAGGCCATTTGTTTTTATTCGGTAAATCCCTAAATCTCTTGGCGAATCCCGGTGTTTCCCAAGTCATTAATATTTGAATCTTCAAATTTAGTAAATAATCACTAGTATTTTTGGATTTAAAACTAACACCATTAAAAACTTGGTCGGAGGCGGTCAACGAGTAACAAAATTGCGCATACGCAACGTGTTACGTGAACAGACACGCGGATGTAAGCTTACCCTCATAATACATACTTTAGCTGGGTTTTCCCCACACACTCGAGTTCTGACTTGTGAAAGTTGTGTGGCCCGCGGGTAAACGAGCATTAGGAACAAGAAAGAGAATTATACTCGATCGCTTGCCTTAAGGCTATGAAGTTGACCAGTTCCGCAATGATTTTATTGTTCCTATTTTTAATTTCGTTTGCAAAAGCATTATTTCTTCATTAGCTGGCATTTATTGCGACTACAAATCATCGTACATTCATTTTACCATTCAGTCTCATTCATCAAGTCTTAAAGTTCACTTACCAAACTTGTCAAGAAGAAACCGGCATACAAATAATTGTTATTAACTTTTCGTGTTCACTTGTGTTTTTTTTTATTATTTATTTTTTTTTGCTTAATCCAATTTTGGTGTCCAATTTATAGCTTCGAGATAGCTGTTAAGCCAAATCTAAACAATCAAGAAATTTGCATTTATGATTAATGAATAAAATAATGAAGCCAGGCACAAATTTTACACACACATTCATTTAGCTTGTTGATATATTTAGCCAGAAAAATATTCTTGTTTTCACAGCTGTGAACAAGTATTTAATAATTTGATTTTAAACGGTTTGATTTATTCGAAATATATTTCTTAGGATTGTTATGTTAGGTGAATTTGTTTGAAATATATTATTTAATTATGTTTAATTATATTTTTATTATAAATGACACTCTTTTTGTTTAAATGCTAGGAGCTACATATAATGTCGCTCTTAAAATTAATTAGCCCATGTTTTAAACAAAGAATGAAACAGGAGATTGCTTCTGCCAATTAAAAATATCTATTCCGTTGCCCGCTAAAACAATATTTATTTATTTTTATGCACATAGTCGTTGTTTTCCTAAATCGGTTTTAAACAAACAGTGTTTTTAATAGGCATTCATTTAGTAAAATGGATTTTATTTTATTTTTTCGCATTTGCTCGAACACATTTGCAACAATTCTTTAAACGGCAGAGATATATTTTTCCTAGCGATTTTACTGTTGCTGGCTGGCCGCTTGCACCCCCATTGATTCCATGGTTCTTGTTGTTGCTTTTGTTTTTGTTGCTGCTGCTGGCAGTCAACCGGTTTAACTAGTCAAGTCCGCCGCCACCAGACTTTGCACATAAATTGCATTTTATTTTTAAAAACCCGGTAATAAATTGTTTCATTTATAATTAGAATTTTTCGCCAAGCTGACAGCCCGTAAAATCTAAGCCAGCATGTGGAAAAGGGGCGAATTTGAAAATCAATTGGAGGAGTTCTCGTCCTCTTTGTTGTATGTTATATGTTCGTGTTGCTGTTTTTGTGCTTGTTGCTGCTGGCTGACCTTCGCATATTTTTCGGACAGGAATTTGTACGTCGCTATGATTCGCGTCGGTTTATTAGCTCAATTGGCCGCAAAAACAATAAACGTCGACGCCGGCGCTGGACTTGGCACCAAAACGTAAAGCGCAATGCATTGCATGTGGAAATCTTCGAGCACATTACGTTATTACGTTATAAGCGCAAAACAAAAGCGGCAACAACAATGGCTAAGCGACGCCCAACAACGATTGGACAATGGGAAAAACTGACATTACAGTTACAAAACGAAACGGAAAATATGCGGCGAAGCAGCACACAAAAAAAGCGACGAACAGTGGACAAAAATTTAGATTATAAAGACTAGATTAACAATATTAGTGGTTTTATTGGTTTTTTGAGTATAATTAATTTTGAATGTAAATTCTTTTCGCAAGGCATTAGCGAATAATTTTTGAGAAAACATATATCTGAATCACCTCTTTAAATTTGATTTTACATGAGTTTAATCACAAGCAAAAAGAAAGGAGTTTTTCAAGCAAACTAAATCTTCTAAAATATGAATAGGTGCCCACTGTGCAGCAACGCCCCACAAAGCAAGTGACGTATGCAGCCCCCACTTGCTGTGCGTGCTCCCACTCTCACTCTCACTTGCTCTCTCTCCCTCTCTCTGAGACAAACTGCAACTTTTATTTTCAAGTCCAACGAAAGTGAAATTGCTGCCGCTCCCCTTTCCGCTCACTCTCTCTCTCGCTCTCACCTTTACCGGTGTGTTGAGGAAATGAAGCAAACATGCAATTGACATAATCAACACGCAGCTGGAAACTCTGCAAATGTCTTTTGACGAGACAGAGACAACAAGACCTACAACAACAGGTTTCTGTGTCGCCTTTTTGCTTTTGTTGGTGTTGTTTAAATGCACAGAAGGAAAAATTTATGAGATTTGATTATCTATTTAATGATGTTACAAATAATAATGCAGCACCATTTGTTTTGCATTTTTAAACAGTAAAATTTTAAATTGAAAGATTAAAATATTATTTGTTAAGCTAAATAATTATAAAAGTTTGTTGGATTCATTTTGTTACCACCCAGATATAAATTAGCACGATATAACCCTAATTCTAATGTTAAATTGATATAATCAATATTTATTATTGTCTTAATAAGAACTGAGGATCATAAAAAAAATCTTTTCAGTGCCAACAATTTTATAGCATCTCTTCTCAATTAAAGTATAACTCATCGAGACTTAAACAAATCCCTTATCAATTAAAAAAGAAATAAGAAACTAAATGTATACATACTATTTCTTTTCAACAGTGTATACTTTGTTGTAGCTGCTGCGGCGTGTGTTCAATGAGCGCTGGTGCGTGTAAATATGTAAGAGTTGCCTTCAACCGGCTTTTTCAAGCAATTTTTTTTTTCGTTTTTTCAGCTGTAGTTTGTGTTTTTATTTTTGCGCTGGTCAGTTTGGCGTTGAATCATCTGGCCATATAGGAAATGAAACGGCAGATGAAGTAATCCCAACAGCCCGCCATGGAAATTACAGAGTCAAAACGCATCACTAAAATCAACCTGATGCACACACATCATACAAATCTAACGAAAACCAAAAGGGCAGGCGTTTATACACAGTGAAGAAAAAAAGGGGAGAAAACAACTAGGGAATGCCGAAATTTCAATACCCTTTTAATTAGAAGTTCCTTTTTAAAAAAGTATAAAAGGTCGTTCTGAATTCTATTAACAACAAAGCTATGAAAATTTCAATAAAATATATTTAAAAAATTGTTAAATCACAGCATTTTAAAATTGAGAGTAAATTTCTTGGAGAGAGAGTGACATGTCTATGTTGACTATAAAAAGATTCCAGCAAAATTGTGAAAAAAATGAAAATACCCACTTAAAGAGTATACAAAACATGGTTTTGAGTAAGCACAAAGGGACAAATGTGCATTAGAAATTACCAACACAATGTGCACGATTTTCCCGCTCCCACCCACACACACACTTATGCAATTGCGTCTCTTCTCTACAAAAGTTTTCGAGTTCTTTTTGTGCTTCATTAAATTACATTTTTAGATTTCGGTTTATCTAAGGTTTTGGCAACCATTTTGATGGATTTTTGACACCTATAATTGGCTAAGAATATAAATTATTTATGATCCCATTGTTCAGCATTCTATTTTTGCTTTGATGAGTATAAAGAATAAATTATTTATTTCTTTGTCTCTTTTTAGGTTTTTTGGTTATGTTCCATTAAACAGTATACAGAACTAAGAACTGTATTGTCTTCGCAACTTTTATAAAGTAATAAAGAAATTCAGTTAGTCTTAATAAAGGCATTGATTTCATTTTCGGTATATTTTTTTATCAACAAATTATGAAGTAACTTTTATTTGCATTGCTTTAGAGAAACTTATTTATTTTAATTATTTGAAAGGTTTAATGCACTGAATATTTCACACTTGCTGCATAAAAATTAAATTGCAACATTTAATAGCAACCAAGTAGGTTTACTTTTTTATGTTTATGGCAAAAATTTGCTGGCTTTAATTATATTTTATATGCCCGCAAATTGGTGGGGCTTTTTCGACACTTTGTTATTTGTTTAATATTTTATTATTATTTATGCACAAAACAACGAGGAGCAAAGCATAAAGGCAAATAACTAGATAAGCTTCAAACTTTATGCCGTTATTCGCGCTATTATAACGCGGCTTTTGCGGTTTCTTTTTGTTTTGGCAAACTTATTTCGTCTTGAATTTTCGAACTTTTTGATTTTTCTCCACTTTTTACGAGCATGGAGTTTTGGGTTTTGTGCATGGCATAACACCGAAAACAAAAGCAAACAAATAAAAACACCATTCGATTTCGTCTTCGCCGCCGACCGTCGTTGTTGTTGCCACTGATTAAATTGGGCATGCGCGGCGTTGACTTACAATCTGCGTCCGTTTTGAGAGCTTGTCGTCGGCAAACTGATCGCAAAAGAGCGGCGAGCGCACTACAAAACCTCCGAAAGAGCGCTGCGGAGAGCGAAAGCTCCGAAGCGGAGGAGCTTTTTGCCCCACCGCTAATTGCAGGCTAAGTGAGTGTGAATTTATGAAGCAGTCAAAGTCGGAAAGTCAGAAAATCAAAAAAAATCCGAAAATCAGCCTACAAAAAGCCGACAGGGAACTTGGACTATATGGCCAGGGCTATTCCTGATCCGGGACCTTGTCCGACTCGAGGCTGCCACACTTTCGAACAACAAACTGGTTCATCTTGGGCATGGCCTCACACTACATTAACAATCAAGCAACAAATTATTAACTTTAATCAGCCGGGCTAGAATGGGAATGCACCTGTCACGTGGGGAAAATGTTTAAGTATATACAGCTGTGCATAAGATTCGCAAGGTTTAAAAAAAAAAACAAATAATGATCATTTTAATAATGTTTTTTATTGCTGATAAGAGAAAAGTTTATAAAATATTTTAAAGTTAAGATCAAGACATATAGAAGGCTATAAAAATATTAAAATTTTATTAATTTTGCTTGTATATTGTAGTTCCCAAGCCCGCTGCATTCCACTTTACTAACCCCTAAGCCTTATTAATTTCTTACTTTTTTTGCACCTGACCAGCTGCTGGTACTGCTAATTGAATTAGCATAGAGACTCGTCTGGTAATTAATATTTAATTTGCTAATTGAATTTTTACTAGCGACTACCGTGCCACGCACCAACGCCAAGCCAAATCACCAAGTTAGCCTCCGTGATCTCTGTTTATGTCCAGTCCATCCGTTCGGCGGCGATCTCATCTCGTGGATCTTGACAGTTGCAAATTTGGTTGATCAACACGAAAACCACTTCTCTGCTGCACTATGCTAAAGTTTGCAATGGTTTTAGGTGAATATTTTATAATGTGGCAAATTAGCCATAAAACACGCATATGAAAAAGCAAATATTGTTGTAAATTCAGTAATAAATAATACGTAAACGCGTACTTAGAAGTTTGGCAGATGGGTACTTTGGAAGCAGCGGGTAAATTATTTTTTTTTCAATAAAAGCTTTTTTATTAAACATAATGCTTGGCTATCAAAATAATTAAAAGTTGTTTATACTTTTTGATTAAAAATGTCTTAAATCAAAAGAAAGATATAATATTAAAATACTGACATTATAATCAAAACTAAATTAAATGCAAGTATGTTATTAAAATTTAAAAACTGAAAAAATGGCCAATGTGTTGCATACAATATAAATTGGTGAGGCGTTTTTGATTGCTAATTAGATAAACGGCATTTCATTCCAAATTCCCCCTAAATATTAAATCAACTTCCGCTATGCAATCCAGTGATTCATCCCCTTCGAAATAAATATCTTGAGGCAAAGCACCAATCTTAACTGTTCTCACAATAAACTCGGACACATGTTTACTCACCGCAAGTTCGTCGCCAAAGTCTTTTGTTCTAGCGGCATTTATATGCAAACCTATCACCTTGGTGGACGATAAAAACCAGAAAAATCTGAAAAACATACCCAGCAGCTTCCCGGAGACCAGTGGCTAGCCAGTCACAAAGTTGAATTAACGAAAATTCGCCAAGCAAGGTCAGATCAAAGCGGTCAACGACTGCAGCTACACGGGAATGGCCAACATGAAATGCCCTTTTTCGAACAACGAAAATTCTTGTTCGCGCTGATTTGTTGATTGCAAGCAGTTAATAAAAATTATACAGCAATAAAAGCGAACAAAAATAATAAAATTAATCACTCGACAAGGAAAGGGAACTTCTGAGCTACGCAAAAAGCAGCTACCGTTTAAGATTTCATCGTTCACCCAAATCAACATTAAATACAAATAAAAGAGGCACAAATTACGGATGTGTCGCCGTCTGCGAAGTTAAAGATTTGGAATGCCTTAGCTAGTCGAGGACGGTCGTTGGTCCCTGGGCAAAAGAACCGCCGACGAAACAGACCAAAAAACTACGGACAAAGTACGTGTCCCATATCAGGAATGCAAACCACGCTGCGGTCACTTTCAGTTGGAGTTTTATTTTTATTGCCGTTTTTGGAACTTGCTCGACTGACTCAGTTTCTGCGAGTTGCTGAGCTTCCACTAAAAGCATTCATAACTCAACTGCCAGCTGTCAGCGGCAGAAACGTTGCCCAGTTAAGCACAGCTCAGCTCGGCTCGGCTCAGACCCCCAAAAAGGGAAAGGGCAATGTAATGGAAAATTATAATGGAAATAAAGCGATTTGCCGACGGATGCTGATGCTCTCGTAGTTTGCAATCGCCTCAAGTTCAAGGTCGCTTTATTTCGCTGCTCAGGGCGATGAGAGTGCATTAAATGTGATGCGATGGGAGATTGTTGTCTACCGATGGAATGGTAATTGTAGTATGAGTATAATGGAAGACCCAATGTTTGCGTTGGCAAATAAGCAGATTGTATTTTTTAATCGCTCACCAAATTTATGGCTTTATAAAATCTTGAAAAAAGCTAAATAAAGTAAATTGTAAGCTGATTCATTTTATACGCTTATCAATATATAATTGTATTTTTATAATTGTATTTTTTGAAATCTTTATTTACTTTTTACAAACATATACTTCACAAACATTTTTTTTTGTAATTGTAATTTTTAAATACAAAAAAAAGCCGTCTTTATATTAATACAAACCACCATTTAAATAATTGTTACCAAAATTTAAACAAATACATCGTGTGAATAAAATTATGTTATTCGCTTTCGTGCTCCAAAAGGCTTTCCCATGTTAAGCGAACTATGCGTCAGGTATATTTACTTAAAACCAAATAAGGAAGTAATCAACTTGAATGTCAATTACAATTACATGCGCATTCAGACAAGCGCAGAGTAATAAATTAATCGAGTTGCGCATACGCCATGTAAGCCGACCAGTCTCCGAAAATTGAATTCAGTCGATTCACTCGCCTTGATTTCAAGCCGACAAACTATAAACAAGCGAGAGCGCAAAAAAAAAATACGTTACGCACAAATTAAATTCATGAAGTTCAAAATCAGAAATTCCAGCAGAAACAGTGGCTAACAAATTACGCGGCACGCATATGCCTCCCAGCCCCCAAATTCCCCCTTTTTTTATTTTGGTCCGACAGCTCGCAATGAGGAAGGTCAAGTGCACGCGCCAAATGTGTTTTATATTGTTTTTCACATTAGTCGCGGCTTTTTGTTTAATTAATTTTTAATATAATTTTTTTCGGTGGCTTGTTTTTTGGACGAGCGCGTTGATGATGTGACAGGCGGCACACACAACTTGGGTGGTTCTGGAGGCTAATTGTGGCAGTTGATGGAAAGGGGCACTTTTGAGGTGGTAAGATGTCAGGTGTTTGACCTTGACGGAGCTTCAAAGTGAAAGAATTGGTTTTGAAGGAAGTGTTGTTGCTTGTTATTGTTAATATTTAATTTTAATCATATAATAGTACCCAATATGAACAAAATTGTTTATGTAATTTTATAAATATTTTAAAATATTTGCTAATAATGAAGTATAATGATGGACAGAATTTTTACACACTGCTGTTCTAACTTTAATAGTTTTTCTCAGTGGTTTTCTCTGTTAAAAGTTCATTTTCACATATTTTCATATTTTGTTTCTCCTATGTTAATTGACCTCGATGCCTTATTTTAACTGCCCTTGCTACTAGTTCACAGAACCTCAATAAAATAATTACATAGCACCCATTGACCGCCACACTCATTGTTATCGAATGTTTAAAATCGAATTTAATTACTTCCACCCACTAACAACTTCCGCGGCACACTTCGTTTGGGAGCCTTGGGTATAATAATAAGCCCAGCCAGTGTTCGATATGAAACGCTACTTGTATGGACATATATGTTCACATGGATATATTGACAAACTGGAGTTTTATTGTCAATCATTGTCAATCAGCCACCGAACAGGGGCCACCCAGCAAGAAACCGAAACGCATTTGACACTGAGTCGTCAAGAGTCCGTTGGAAAACCTTTAAGGTTCAATCAACTGACAGACACAAGAGACTTAATCACCTGTTTTCAGCTAAGTAGGTTGGAGGGCTTATAAACCGATACCGATCGGCTATCATATTTTATCAAGCCCGCTGAAAGGCAAAAGGAAGTGGAAACAAGCCAAGTCACAACAAAAACCAAATTGAATCAAATTATCAATGTTTAATAGCCAAAATCCAGCCCGATCCAAATACGAGACTCAATCTGAATCGTAGCTCGTGTCTCGAGGTTAGCCTTGCCCATGGCATGCAAAGTTGAAAATTGATTTTGGCTTATTTTTTAGGTCTCTCGTCAGGTTCAAAACTATTAGCGCCCGCATGCAAAAAAAAAAAACAAAAGCGAAGCCCAATAGAGCAATCAAAATTGGAACAATGCAAGAGCGTAAAACAAATAAGCCTTTTGAAACTACAGTGCAGAACATATATTTCTAATATTTAAAAATATATTTTATAGATTAATTTATTGTTATTTAAAATTGCATTTTCATTTATTTAATGTATTTCTGGACCTTAATAAATGGCATTTATTTACTTTAAAATAATTGTAATATCTAAACAAAAAGCTTTAACCAAGTTACTTGTGATTAGCTCAACGATGTTGTTTACAACTTTGTACCACACTGTAGTTGCTGTTGTCAGCAATGTTGTTGCTGCCGTTGTCGTGCGTTGGTTTTTTGACAGTTAACTCTCTACTGGTTTTGATTTTTTCATGTACCATACGGGGGCCACTTGAAATTTGATTTTGATCGATTTTGGCAAAAAAAAAAAAAAGCACAACGGCAATCGTTATTTAATGCGAATTCAGCCTCGGGGCAGAGTTAATGTTTTAATTAGCACATCTTGGGCAATCTGAGGTCGCTTTAGGGGCTGAACAACAAATTGCAGCGTGCCACGCCCATCCAAGCATATCAAAAGGGGTTGTGAGGGTGGGGAAATGGAAATATATATAATTTGTATTATAAATTTTCGCCACATCAAAAGCGCATTCATTTGCTTGATTCACACAATTTTTTCATTGCTATTTGTTTGGCCGCACATAGCTTAAGCATTGGCAACTTTGTCGAAGTTGAGAAAACCCCACAAACACCCCCTCATCACAATCGTTCAGCTACTGTCATTGTCAGACAATCGTTAGTTAGTTCTTGAACTCGGCTTTTGAACTGAGCTCTCGGTGCGCGAGCCGCTCCAACTTCATAGCTAATCGCGGGCTACTCGTTTCGCGTTGGGATCTTGACATGAGGAAACCATTTGGTCGCCATACAGTATTGTAATGACTGTAATTAGTCGAAACCGAAAAGTTGCCGGCCGAGGCAGAGGTATCTCACTGAATATGAGCAAGAATATGGCTAATAGTTCTAACCCAACAAACATAACATTTTTTAAATTTAATATTCACTCATTAACTACACTTTTGGGAAATAAAAAGTTAATCAAAAATTCATTTATTTAGGAATAGCTGCTAATACATCACAAAATAACAAATATTTTTTAAAAAACTAATTAGACTGCTTTACCACATTTTTGAGGCTTTTCTTTAATGTTTTAAGGATTGTTTTCTTTTGAAAATTGTCAGTATTTTAGAATTGTATTTATTTAGAGAGCTTTTTTATTTGTTATAAAATATTTAAATTAAAAAAATTATTTATACAGATTTGAGTCTGCTTATAGATTTTCTGCGGGCATCAAACTTGGCAGTCCATTTATGGACAAAAACTTGCATACTTAAAATATCCTTGAGTTATTCGTATAATGCTCACATTCCGAGAATCTGATAGTCACCTTTGTTCTGTCAATCCGAACATCGGCGCATACATATGTAGCTACACATGTACACACTAACGTAGGCATTTATCTACGAATTGTCAATTACAGATACATTTTATCGATTGAAACAAAAGACTTGAACAAAAAACTTGTTTCACTTGCCGCCGAGTTTTTTTTTTTTTTGTTTTGTCGGTCAGCTGGGGGCCTCCAAGCAAAAAGTGAAAATATTATGCAACATTCTCTGTCTCCCTCTTTTACTCCACCTCACCTTGTGCGCGAAATATGCAATAAATATTTTCTCAATTTTGCTAATGGCAATTAATTTCATTTGTCGTTTCTCCTTCATTGTTGCATTATTATAACTTTGCTGTTCTCGGCCATATCGCATATATGTAAACTATTTGCAATTATTCAATTAAACATGACATGACTCCGACTCGAAGTCGAACTGGATAGCACTGGCATTGTTTTAGTTTCAGCTTAATATCCATTTATTAGATCGCCGGTTTTCTCTCGCAGAAAGCAATTTAAAAAAAGCTAAAGTCATAAAGCATCAAGATCAATCCGATCGTGAGCGATTGTAAGGGCAGAGGCGGATATTCGGAGTGCGTGTTTCTTGATCTTGATTAGCTGGCCATTTAATAATGAATTTCCAACAACGGCCACTCCATACAACAATAACCAATTATCAAGGTTGCGGATGAGTTGGCTATTGTAAATATTTACATAGCTCGCGGCCCCGTCCCCTCCCCTCCCCTCCTTTATGGCTCCTCAAGGTCGAATTGTGGCAGAAGAGTTTCATCGAGCGTTGTTGGATTAGTGTAAGGCAAACACTTGACTACACGTTCTACGAAGTCAAGACTTTAGCGGCCTTGGACTTCTAATTGCTGATAGAGAAAGTTACACAAGTTATACCAATGAAAAATAATATTTCAAGGACTACGATGAAGAGCTCATTTTGTTTGGTTCTTTTCTTACAAGTTCATTATTACGAAAATTACTTAGAAATAAATTAAATATTCACCAATGCCTCTTCGCTCTCCCCTTGCTGAAAATCACTCTCAACAATAGACACAATTTAAAGAATCGAAATGAAACAAATTCGAATCATTTATTTGATCGAGCGATTTGAGAGTTGTTTGTATATACAACTCAATTAATTTCCAAACATTATTCAAGTTCAAGTTTATTAACCTTTAGTTCAAAAGTGCAAACACCAACAGATTAATAGATTTCGATGCGGTTTTTCATGCCGAAGGTTAAACGATTTCTGTTCTTTGCTTTTGGCGGATTCTTCAAAGCAGCCAATGGACTGGCACAATTGTTTGCAGTTAATTGGCTAGAACACCATTAATGGCAAAGTTCAGATGGTTCACGTAATGAAGGTCAAGTTGGGAAAAATACATTGTTTTCTTAGCTTTTGGAATTTCTAATCCATAAGTTCTTACACCATTAAAATTCTGAAAGCATAATGTAATCCTACTTGGATAAAGCATAATGGATTACCATACTGAAGCGTTAACTTCTGCAAAAGGCAGAGAACCAAAAGAAGAATATATACACACATAGGCAAACATAAACAAATTAAATTGCTACCATGATTGGCCAGAGTTGCCGCCGCCTCGTGAGGGCATTCGAGCGTGGCCCATGAAGGTTAGCCACGGGGCTGGGGCTGGGTTGCGATTATTAAAGAGCATTAATTGGAACACCGTTGGAGCGTCGGACAGCGGGAAGTTGAAGTTTTCGGAAGGTCACTGCGCAGATGGGAGGAGGTTCTGCCCACCAGCTGTGCGAGCCCAATTATTCACATTTCCATTCTGCCAGCAGATTTAAATCTGTGAAGAGCAGCTGTCTAATATGCACCGTGATTACTGCATTTACGTATAGCTAAAAGTTCAGGGTTATTGTGGGTTAAACACCTGCGTTTTCTATGCACCCGCGAAGGCAGTTGTAATTTGTAAGGCCTCGCGTGAGTCTAATTAATAATTAGTTGTAATGGAAAGTGCCTCTGTAATGGAAAATCAATATGTTTAAACACGGATTTAATTTGAATTTAAATTTGGCGGCTATTTATCGAATAAACCTATCGATAAGTCGAAAGTGTTATGAACGTGCTAAACAGGAAGATTTTACTGTAATGGTTGGAGTCTGCGGTTGCTCGATTATATTCAAAATGTATTTATCGAATAGTCATCGAATTTTCTTCCATCCCTATAGCAAAACATTGGCAAATTGCAAATATTTTTATTGTAGGAAAATAGTTGTTTAAACTGCTGGTTAACCATGGAAATTGCGGATACTTACTACAGTAAAGATGAATATGTGGAGACGGCAAGTACTTACAGTTATTTCCATGCGGAATTTGTCCTGACCACAAGATTCGATGACCTCATCATGCCCAAAATCATTTTGTTTACAGGCATCCGGGAACAAAGTCAGTCGACACACAGTGCTCTGTGGATCCCAAAACATCGTACTCAATGGCAAGGTGATTGTCCAGAGCGGCGCTATTATAAGAGGTGATTTGGCCAACGTCCGGACGGGAAGATACTGTGTGATTGGCAAGGACTCCGTGATCCGTCCACCGTACAAACAGTTCAGCAAGGGCATCGCCTTCTTCCCCATGCACATCGGCGATCATGTGTTTGTGGGCGAAGGAGCCGTCGTCTCGGCGGCCACAATTGGATCATGTGTTTACATCGGCAAGAATGCCATTATTGTATGTATTTTTATTTTCAATAAGATCTGCATTTGCTAATGCAAGTTATCCTCCATCTTTCAGGGCCGTCGTTGTGTTCTTAAGGACTGCTGTGTGATTGAGGATGGGGCTGTGCTGCCGCCGGAGACAACTGTGTCCAGCTACATGCGGTACACGGCCAGGGGAACCATCGAAGGTGGCCAGGGAAATCCGTACTTTGTGCCAGCCGCCATGCAAGATGAGATGGTCAACTACACAAAGTCATTCTATGAGCATTTCGTACGCACTCCGGCACCAGCTAGCTGAAAATAATAGGTAGCGTTCATTAAAGCTATTAAGTTATTACAAAAACACATTGCGAAGTTTATGTACATACTTAAAATGCTTATGGTTTTGGAATCTGCAGTTCAATTTGTATTTAAACCAATGTATTTACACTTGCAGGAAGCTCTAAATGCAAAATGCTGAGCAGGCATCTCCCAATTGCATAAAATGAAAACCGGAACCTGCCCGATTTGAAAGATTATTTACGAAATAAACATATATTAGGTATTCTATAAGTATGCACTTTGTTTGGCTGTTCAAGGGTTAATCTATCAGTCCTGTCTCGCAGTCGTATGCCTCGTCGCCGCACTCAAAGATGGGAAAACTCATGCCGGTGCGACGGGCGATCACCGATGCCAGCTCCTCGGAGTTGTTCTCCTTGCGGGGCAGTATATTTCGGTCCAGCAGCAGGACTGTGGCCGTATTCCGGCAGTTGGACACGGTGGCGGTGATGTGGAGAGGCGTTTGCTTACCCTCCGACTCTGCATTTACATCGGCTCCAAACTGGAGTAGCAAATGGGCACAGTCCGCATTGTTCCACTTGCAGGCGGAGTGCAGTGGAGTCCATCCCAGTTCCGTGCGAGCATTGGGATCTGCGCGGTACTGCAGAAGCAACTTGGCCATGTCCACAAAGTTATTGTAGGCCGCACGATGCAGTGGCGTATATCCGTCGTTGTCCTTTGAGTTCACTGTATCCGCATCCAGACGCAGGATCTCGCGCACTTCACTAATGCGATTCTCGTTCACCGCCCACAGGATCATGCGTTCAATGCTAGCTAAATGCCGAGATTTATATTAAGAACTTCAATTAAAGTACGAAGCACTTACATTGTGGGTTCTTGTCCTCCTCAATAAGTTCGTCGGCATCGTCATCCCAGCCACTTACGAACATTCCGCGAGGCACTTTCGCATACCGCAGCTTCTCCACTTGAGATTTCTCTTCATCCGAGTCGTAGTCCGTCATTTTTTAAGAAAATTTCAATAGTTGAGCTGAAATGAAGATGATTTTGCTTTTATTTTTTAGAGTGACCGTTGCTAGACCGCTTAAATATTCCTTCGGGCTATGAGAAAAATACTAAAAGAAATAAGCACTTTCTATTTTCAATCGTTTTGTCATTATGTTGTTACTCGAATATGGTCACTTTACCACCCCCATATTGTATACTATACCACCGCGAAGTCGCGAGGAAAACAACTTCTCCCACGTTTGTTTACGTTCCGCCAGACCAGAAAGTCCTGAACGCCATGTCAAATCCACAGGAGGAACTGCTGCCGCCCAGCGCAGAGGACGACGAGCTGACACTGCCGCGGGCCAGCATCAACAAGATCATCAAGGAGCTGGTGCCCACGGTGCGGGTGGCCAACGAGAGTCGCGAGCTGATCCTGAACTGCTGCTCCGAGTTCATCCACCTGATCAGCTCGGAGGCCAACGAGGTGTGCAACATGCGCAACAAGAAGACGATCAACGCGGAGCACGTCCTGGAGGCGCTGGAGCGTTTAGGTTTCCATGACTACAAGCAGGAGGCGGAGGCTGTGCTGCACGACTGCAAGGAGGTGGCCGCCAAGCGACGGCGCCAGAGCACGCGCCTGGAGAACCTGGGCATCCCAGAGGAGGAGCTGCTGCGCCAGCAGCAGGAGCTGTTCGCCAAGGCCCGGGAGGAGCAGGCGCGCGAGGAGCAGCAGCAGTGGATGAGCATGCAGGCGGCGGCCATGGTGCAGCGACCGCCGCTCACCGAAGGCTCTATTGCCAGCAAGCCCAGTGAGGATGACGAGGACGAGGACGATGACGACTACTAGTAGAAAGGTGTGTCTTTCTATGAGCTTAATGTAGTGTTTAATCTTAAAATATATGCCATAAGTTGAAAAGTTAACAACCAGCTATTCTTTTGCCAGATTCTGTGGTTACTCTACAGCCTGGTCCATCTGTTTGGCACTCTGTTGCTCTCCAATCTGAGCAGTTCCAGACTTAATTCATCACAGGATCTGCTTATATCAGATTTCCTTCTTTTCGTTTCGAAAAACTGGCTTTATTTACTATCAGCTAATCCCGGCCAGATTCTGTGGCTCCTTGGCCTCCTCATCCACCTGTTTGTCACTCAGTTGCAGCTCCACCAATCTAGGCAATGGCTTTGTCGCGTCGTAAGTGCCAGGCACATATTTACCCAAGATCTCAGTGTGCTGCTTCCAGAATTGCGAGGAAATGAGGTCCTCGTGCAGCGGCACTATGGCCTGTCTGCTCTTGTCACCCAATATTACCAGTTTCCTCAGCAAGATCGTTCCTTTTCTGTACATGGCCGGCAGATTGTTGTAGTTTATGCCAAACTCCTGAAAGAGCAACTCGTTCTTGTCCGCCGAAAAAGTGCCTCGCAGTTTAGCCTCCGCTTCCTGGTTCGTGAGACCTTTTTCCAACACCAGTTTCCAAAATGCGGTGTTGTACAGATTGTTGACATGCACATCGGCCTGTCGCCAGCTGAGATAGTCCTTAAGGTTCTGCTCCGCGGGATACAGGACCACTCGCCCGTCAAAACAGGGAGCGTAGGCCAAAGGCAGGCTCATCCACTTGGACCACTGCATCACATAGCTCGTGGAAAACAAACTGGTGACGTAGGTGAGCAGCTTGGCGGAGCGTCGCTTGAAGGCAGCCGTCTCCTTGCGGAATACAAAGGAGTACTCATCACTTTGGCCATAGGCCAGGACAATATCCCGGAACTCCTGCATCACGGCCGTGGCAGCCGCATTCATTACATTGAGAGCTGAAGGCGGACATTCAAATAGTCAGTTCAGTCAATTAAAAACAAAACAATTTAGCTACCATTCTCATCGTTGGGCTTTTCAAAGTCGTGCGTCTTTGAAAACTTGTGGAACTTTTTGCCATCGATTCGTATGACTATCCACACATTGGGCAGTATGCTGTCGTCCTGCTCAAAGGATTTAACGTACTCGAATCTGCTGCAGGCCATGCTGCGTTTGGGAAACTCCTGGACGTGAGTGCGAGTCAAGAATCTACTTAATTTATTCAGAGTTCCAAGCAACCGCATTTAAACTTATTTATGTTAGCGAACGCATGAGTTGTCAACAGCTGATTGTATCGCTGTTAACAATTAACAGACGACACTTCACTGTTAACTATCGCGCGCTTAGGGATGGGTACTAAGCTAAAAACTGTGACATCGCTAATATCACTACATTTTTAGTAGTTTAGTTTGCTCGTTTTAATCAAAATAACAAACGTTTCAAAAGTAATAAATAACTTAATAAAATAAGTTAAATTTGTTTTTACATTAGAGACTTTATTTTTGAATGTACCACGCACGTTCCCCGGGCAATCACTGTGACCAGCGATAGGGCATGCCTTGCTCATCCCTAGCTGACCCGATAACATCGATAGGCAGCGACAGTAGAATAGTGAAATTAAAATATGAACGTAAATTACGAAAATGCGGCAGATGAGCAATTCGCCCGGGCACACAAGGCAGTGAGTCTGTCGGACGACGAGGAGGGCGAGGGCCCAGCGGAATCCACATCATCCCGGGCGCAGGGAACGGATATATCTGCTGCCTCCAGTAAACCGGGCCAGGAGTTCTATGAGGAGCCGGGCGGGAAAGGTGAAGGGGCGAGAAGTGATGATGACGAGGAGGAGCAGGAAGCGGAATCTGTTGCTGGAGCGGCCAACACACATGTGGTGGCCAACCACTACAACGAGCTGAAGGAGGCGGGCCGCAAGGATCGCCAGAAGTCGAAGATCTTCTTTATGCGCAACTTCAACAACTGGATCAAGAGCCAGCTGATAAACGAGTACATGTCGCAGATTAAGCAGCAGAAACGCATGGGCGATGCCTTAAGGGTGCTGGACATGTGCTGCGGCAAGGGCGGTGACCTCCTCAAATGGGAGAAGGCGTCCATTTCGCACCTCATCTGCACGGACATCGCAGAGGTGTCCGTGGAACAGTGCCAGCGGAGGTATCAGGACATCCTGCAGCGAGCGGAGAAGTCCAAGTTCGCCAATAAGTTCACCGCTGAGTTCTTTGCCTGCGACTCCACATTGGTGCGGCTGCGGGAACGGTATAAGGATCCCTCGCTGCAGCTGAATCTCGTGTCCTGCCAGTTTGCTTTTCACTATTGCTTCGAGTCCATGGCGCAGGCGGATTGCATGATGCGAAATGCAGCAGAGTGCCTGAAACCGGGTGGCTTCTTCATAGCCACCATGCCAGATGCCTACGAGATCATCCGGAGGCTAAGGGCAGCCGGTCCGGATGCCCGACGCTTTGGCAACGATGTGTACAGCATTGAGTTCGACTGCGAAACGGATCCATTGCCCTTATTCGGGGCCAAGTATCAGTTTCACTTGGAGGGCGTCGTCGATTGTCCTGAGTTCCTGGTGCATTTTCCCACGCTGGTCAAGCTGGGCAGGAAGTACGGTCTGCAGCTGTTGAGGCGCTCCACATTTGCAGATTACTACAAGGAGAGCCTGCCCCACGGCCGACACCTCTTGCAGCGCATGTCCGGCTTGGAGTCGGTGCAGGCTCAGCGTTGCGAAAATGATGAACAGTTTGCCCATGTACGGAATTTCCAGGGAGCTCAGCGCGGTCGGCCGTTGGGAACCCTTTCCAAATCGGAGTGGGAAGCAGCAAGTGAGTTCACAGGGAATAGCTTTCCAAATTCACTTACTAAAATGCGCCTTCTTTCAGCTCTTTATTTGGTTTGTGCCTTCAAGAAATGCAAAAACACCTGGGATACCAATGGCAAACCTTTGTTTGAGTTTGACGACTGATAATTACCAAAAAATTTGCGTGTTTATAGGTTATATTTCTGTATCCGTGGCCCAACTCTTTTAAAGATTATACTCGAAAGCATGAACAGATAATTGCTTGCTTAAATGATTTTTAATTTAAATTAACTATACAGTTTTTGATTTGGTTTACCAAACATTTTTATTGTTCAATTTATAATAGCTTAAATTTAAAAATTAAATATATATTGAGTTACAAAAAAAAGCCATTCTAAAGAAAGGTGTTTTTTTTAGAAACTTTTCATTTTTTTAAGTCGCCTATGAATCACAATTTTGTTTTTAAAAACACGTTTTTGTCAATAGAGATCAAATTTAATAAACCGTCGGATTTAATTAGTAACTGTTTTAAATATGTACTCTGGTAGTTAATGCAATTGTAAAATACTTTTGAATATTTTATATCATACAGGATAAGCAAAGCATAGACAAGCACATTTTACATTGTATTTTAAAAAAATCTAAACAAATTATTCAAATATTAAACTTATACTTATTTAACCCGAAAATTTATAAAGAATATGATTTAAACATATTACATATTGTACTTTATTTATAAATTTGTTGGTTTTAAGAATACATTTTAGTCAATTTACATAGCACCAAAATTTTGAATAAAACTAAATTTGAAATAAAAATATCTAAATCTACTAATGTGTGCTTGTGTATGCTTAAAGGTATATGGATCTTACTATAACCTGATCCGGAACCTGATCGAAATAACAAGGCTTAAAGTGAATCAAAATCTTTTGAATAGCCCTCGTTTGAGCCGCCTTTCTAGCCACCTCTATCGAAAGTTTTGATAAGAAGGCTTTCGGGCCAAGTTCGAAACTGGAAGTGGGATATCGAAGAAAGCTTCGGGGAACGAAGCTCTCTGGCTGAGAGCGCACAGCTGTTGCTTTCACAGCGACGGCGCCTTTGAAGGACATCGGGCAAAGGTTAGTCCTGACGTTTACGTTGCCGGGTCGTGCCTGCCAGCGACCCAACCTGTTCAGTTCTGCTCTGCTCTGGAGCTCTCGACACCCCAGTCCAATCAGTCCAAAGCGAAAGCGTGTCGTGCCAGGCGCTCGATGCATCAATGAATTATTGTAGCTGAAGTGTAAATAAATATTTGATAACGGGTCGAAAGTATGAAAGTATGGGTGGCCTGGTTCGGTTTGGTTTGACTGGGTGGTGTTGAGTTCAGTTAAGTTGATGGGGCTGGAGAAAATAGCGGCATAAATTACGCCATTGATTGGTTTCGAAGCGAATGCAAAGTTTATATTGGGCCAATCAGTTAGCTCTTCCTTTCATTATCGCTCAGGGGCCTCCACTTTGGCCATCTTTTCTTCGGCTTCCTCCAACCACTCACTGCTCAAGTTTCTTCTCAGATAATTTCGTTATTTAAAGTTTTACTCATAAAAATCAACTTTGGGTGTAAAGTTTAAATTTGTTTTGCACATACTGACGCACAGCACAACAAGAGAAGGCAAGGCACGTGTACGTGGGGGAATTTCAGATGAGAATGAGTATGAGGATGGGAATGGGAATGGGTGGCTTCGCTTTTGTTTAAAGTAGAGCGTGCGTATTTATAAGGCAAACAACAGAGCCAGGGCTGCCCGAGCTGTTTACGTTTACACACACGGCTTGCTATCAACAAACCAACCAACCAACCAACCAACCACCCACCGGTCCAACCATCCAACCGCCAACCCACCGCTTTTGGCCAGGTTCTCTCCGCATGTCCTTCGCCACGACTCGCTTTGCACTGATTGGCCCTAATGAATCTTTTTGTTACCTTCACCATGCAGCCGCCTGCGCATTGTACCGTGCGGTCTATGTAAATTAGTTCACTTTTAACCCAAACATCGGGGAATGCCAGGTATCTCACCCCCTTGCAACAAATTAACGTTTTAAACTTTCATGCGACTGAAATTACAAGCTATTGTTAGCCTTGAAGAATGTATTTGATTTTATTGGATGCTGGAAAATGAATTAAGTTGTTTAACTTTTGTTTTTGTTTGATCAACTTGCAAGATTTATTGGATTAACAAATAAATCACAATCTTGATTTGTATATGGAATTAAGATTTTTGAATGCAATTTAGAGAAACAACTTTTGATAGGTGCATTCATACTTGGACTTCAGTTTTAGAAAACGATCCAACATGCAGTGAGCATTCATTCCCTTACGTTCCAAATAACTTGTGAGAGCGTCATTAAACTCGATCTTTGTTGAGGACGAAGTGCTTCGCATTGTGTTCAGCATTTTGTATGCATCTCGGGAGAGTAGTTGATCGAATTTCGCTATTTCCGCATTACTTTCCGATTTGTAGACGTTGTAGATGTTACGGAACTCGGGGTTGCCACTATAACGCCTATTGCAAAGAATCATTTTCTTGAAGTTGCAACGGAACTTTAAAAGAAACTCAATTTTCCTGTTCGGATCGGCGACAAGCAATGCAACGAAATTATCGTTTATGAATTCTTCAAAACTTGAATTGCTCTCCAGTTTTGCTACGACCTTTTTTGCAACGTCCAAAGCTTTGCTTGTTAGTTTGTCCGCCAAAAAAAGGCGATCATCTTCAACTCCTTCGAGAAAATTACAGAACCTTTCCTTGTCGTTTGTGGTGGCCAATCCACTGGTGAAACCCTTTAAAAATAAGTGTTAAATGCTGCTTGATGATTTTTAACTAACTTTTCTTACCAGCAAAGCCAAAGTAAAAACAGCAAGCAAAGAAAAACGCATTTTGTTCAATGGTTAAACTCGAACTATAACTTTCTGGACAGATTTTGCGCTTTTTATAGGTTCCAGTTCAATACTGTTACACAGAAGCATTGCGCCGGATCTTGTTATCGCTTTTCTTACTAAGAATCCTCAAGTCATGTTTCCACATACTTTACTAATCTACATCAATTTATATTTCCAATTATATACATTTTAAGTTAATCTGAACGCATTTTCTATAAACAACATTTTCCTATAGTTACTGTTTGGCATAAAAATAGCATTGTAAATTTAAATTAGCAAACTCAAAACATTTGAATAATATTCTTAATTTTTTGTATAAAATTGAAACATAAAAATTTGTATCATAATGAATTTTTTATTTGTAAGTCTAAGAAGATGCTCGGTTTATGGTCAATCGTTAAATTAAATAATTTAGAAAATTGATCAACGTATCTTATAAATTGCTTTATATGTAAAAATGGCTTTTTATCGAAAAAGTGGTCCAAAAGATTTTTGAATGCTGCGAATGGTATTAAACTGGAATACCTGCAGCGGCCCAAGGGTTAAGGACTGTGGGACAATGGGTGGCCCAGGTTGTGTTGAGTAATGGGCATACGTGACTGCAATGTGTTCGTGTGGAAAGCAGTGGCAGTGTGGCAGTGTGCTAGTGTGTTGGTGCTGCTGGGCACTGACAAAACGCAGGTAGGAAATGTGCGGCCCCTCATAGTACGTATACGCAGTGTGTACAAACAGAAAACATGCCGCAATGTTTGTTTTGTAAGCCTGTCGAGGCAAGCGAGCGAATAAGTGTCTATGTCTCTCACTCCCTCTCTCTCTCTCTCTTTCTCTCTCTCTCTCTCTCTCTCTCTCTCTGTCTTTTGGTCCTTTTTCCTTTCTCTGTAGATCATAAAATGCACGTATATGTATGCAAAAAGCATATGTGTGTGTGTGCGTGTATATGTTTTGTGTTTATTCAACCGCATGAAACAATGTGAAAAACGCATGCCAGACGTGCGACAGTGTTGGTGGCTCTGTGTGAATGGCTGCGAGCATGTCTGTGTGCGCCTTCTGCTATGCTAAACTTTTTACAAGGATTGCCCCCGGAGATGGTTGGCTTGGTTAACGCAACAATTTAACACAAAACCAAAAAGAAGGTAAAAGAGCCGAGAAAGAAAAGATGGGCAAAAAAAAAAATATGAAACGTTCCGCACATATTTGTGCATACATATATGCCCAAGGACTTAGTGGCGCCCATTGAAAGGATGTGAAGATGATGAGCTGCAGCTCATCGCTTGGTAATCTTTTGTGGTTCTTTTCTGGCCAAAGAGAAACTTGAACTATGCTCCCCAATGCCCGAGCGTTGCCACATTCGTCGTGGTAGTTACTCTTGTCCTGGTTGGATGCGCTTTGCACCACACCAGCTTAAGGACGAATGTTGGCTCAGTAATTACATTTAGTTCTATGCCCGGGCAAGGCTGATGCACAAATATTGTATTCAGTTTTTTCGCAATGAAATGTCAGCCAGTATAAATGACTAGTTTCAAACAGTTACCTACATCTAAGTTTAAATTTATTTATTGAGCAATTTGTATGAACTGGCCGATTCTTTAACAAGACTAAGCAATAATTCTTTAATGGTTTAAAATATCCTTTGTCCCACCGCAGTTGGAAAAAAAAAATTCTGGCTCTAGGTTTTTATAGTTAAAGTTCTGGTTTAGTCACTGATTGTTGATTTGGATTTAGCAGTAGTGGTAAGAATGCACTTTAATAACAAATAAAAAAGCAATAAAGATACTCCATAAACAATTCATAATATTGTGTTTTGTATATTTTATTGTGTTGAATAGTTATAAGTTAAGACCATTTTTGCCATTTATTTTAACTAAGTTAAAATTAGTAAATGTCAAAAAGCTTACTCTTTATTACAGTACATTAACAATGAATTTAAGTCAAAATTAATATGTTTAGTAAACTTAAAAAAAGTCCCTACTCATCTAAGTTATGTTGAAACTCTAATGTTTTATATCTCAATAAACCCCTTTCAAGTGAAGTAAAATATAATCCATCAACTTTTGCTTTTAAAATATAACAATGTTAATTTGTAGTATTTGACAACTTGTGTTTACCAATTTGTTTTGGATTTAATTAGTGCAGTTTCTGTTCAAACTGACTTCGAAATGAATACAAAAAATAAACAATGAGTGAAGTTTATCAAATTGTTGGTCCACAACTCATGTCACGTTATCCACACATCCGAAAATTATTGAATCCGTTCATCAGCTTCGTTTACCATTTATAGTTATCCTCTGACAGATTGCAAGACAAGTGCATTTCAGCATGTCCACATTTCACATGCAGATATAAATATTTGAGTAATTGATTTCCCCGGTCGACGAAGGTGAACTTCCCAGTTCTTGGCTTGAACACTCGGGCAATGCAAATAGTTTATTTTTGACCGCAGAATCCTTCGACTTCAGCGGACAGTTGAGGTTGCCAAACTAATTGCACAATTGCCGATGATTTATTCAAATGCCAATTAAAGTGCCAACTAACGGTGTGGCCCCGGCTATCGATTCGAAAATATTCAATAATCCCGGAGCCTTGATAAGCTCATCAAACATGCACATGGCCAACCCGGGGCTAAGGTTGTTTTCGGAGCCAAGTGCGGATATGGGGGATTTTTGGAGGGTCTTAGGGGCTTGATGGGTTTGAGGGGACACAACGTGTGGGTAGCAAAGGTACGAGTTGCCATGGATCAAGCTCAAGGCGTGGCAGTTGGGCATTAGGTGTTGTGCTGTACTCGTGCACTGGCGCACGACAACCAACCAAACAAAGGTCAACTCGACAAGTGAGTTAAATGACAAGGACCTCACCTTGCTTACCTTGGCCCGTGCGTGTTTGCATGTTTGACTCGATGAGGCGACCCCAAAAAATGAAACTCAACTTTGGCTTTGAATGTGGCGTGGCGTGCACCAAGCAACCATTATATGGCCTTTCGCTTTCAAAACAATGCCCCCTTCGAACCGACTTCGTAGTTCGTTGTTGCTTTTGCATTGCCCTTGGCCAATTGCGAGTGAATTTTGATGTTTTGACTGGCCGTTCCTGGGGCCATTTGACAACTCTATAAAACCGGTGTCCTTAAACCCGCCCTCGTCCTTGTGCCCCACCCCCCATTAACAATCCCAGTCACAACCCCCACTCCCCTAATAACCGTAATTGCCCGGAGAGTTTCGCGACTTTCGACTTGGCCACCAAACTAAAAGCGAAACTTCAAAGACCCGACTTGGCAACTGGAAAAGCGGAAAAGCGGAAGCCGTGAGCTTTCCCCCAAAAAGCTCCTGCTCGCCAAGCTTTCGTCCTGGCAAGGCGAAAATGTTAATGTCAGTCATGGAGTTCCAGTCGTCGGATACATGTGGAACACAACGAACACAGCAGGAGCCTTTCGCGTCTCATCCCCCGAATACAATGCGAAAAAGTCTGTACAAAAAATAGACACAAAAAGAAAAACACCACTCTGTGCATAAAATATTGCTCCAGAAAGGTGTAGCACAAACAGAAAACCTCAAAGAATACGTTTAAAATGGAATTACGGTGCGGGAATTGATAGAGTGCAGAGTGTTTAAAGTTAAATATCAAGTGAAATAAAACGAATACATTAATAATTCATGGCCCTCGAATCACAGCCAGAAGCTTACTAGTTTGATAAGAAATTAAACGAAAATCATTAAAGATATAGTGTACAAAAAAAAGTTATAGCAAGTCGAATACGTTTTTAGGTAAACCGCAATCCGAACAACTCAAACAAAGTTGACAAAAAAAAGCTCACGCCCCTCACGTCTCAGTTTTTTCTCTCGTATTATTTGTGAAAGTGCAACAAACAGATATAAAAAGAAAAGGGAGAGGAGAGGATAGAAGAAAGCAGCAGCAGCAGGAGCAGCAGGGCCTGCAAAGGAATTGCCATCATTTGGGGATTACGGAATTATCGGGATCCGTGCTCATTAAAATGGATTTAAGCCAATGCCGATGTGCTGAGCTGCATTTGTGCATGGGATTATCGATTGTAGTGCGCAGTCATCAAATTATGTTTGAACAACGCCGCCGCAACAGCGATAAAAGCAACAACAACATCACAAGCAACAACAACAAACACTGAATTGGCCCCTGACCCCTTTTTTGGAAATACCGTGACCCCTTCAAAAAAAAAAAACACACACACACACCCCCTACGCCCCTGTCCGCGCGAAAAGGAGCAGCGCAAAACGAAGAAGCGTCTTATGAAACAATTGAAGCACCGGCCAAAGGAGCAAAGGAGCAGACAAAGACAAAAACAACGGCAAAGGATAAAGCGGAGACCGAGAAGAAGAAGCAGCAGCACCAAAGTATACAAGCGAGAGCAGTCGTAGCAACAACAACAGCAACAACAACAACAACAACATCGCATTTTTAAACGGCAATACGCAAAGTAAGTGAAGCGTAAAGTGAGCGAGAGTACACACTCAAAAAAAAACCTAGAATCTATTTCGAAGGAATAGAGTAACTTTATAAAATCAAATTGTTCTTTGCTTTTCGAGGTCGATAACATTACCTAGGGAATGTACAGAAAGATAAGGGAAAAAGACAGTACCCAAAGAAAAATTACTTATACAAATATTCTAAAAAAAATACTAAACTCAACTAAACTATGATAAATAATAAAAAAACGTAATAAATAATAATAATTTCCTTAGAAAATAAGAACGCCGCTAAAACGGTGAAAATAGAAATGAAAGAAAAACTAAATTTAATGAATGAATTACTTATTTTAAAGAAAAATATAAATTCGATCCTTAAAAACACAATTTCCGTTTATCCATTATTGTGGCAGACCGAAAGACGAAATTGGTTATCAGTTGGATATTAGCTACACAGAAAGGAAAATGTATAAGAATATCTTATTTATTTAATGCTTTAACCCTTTTTATATTCTATATTTATTTTATTTATTTATAATAAGAAGATATGAAAATTAAATGTATGCCAAAAAATTTGAGGATTTGAG